TCTCACGCCAGGGATAGGGCCTGGACTCATCCGGGCTCTATCTGAAACGCACCGAAAGGTTGCATTCTATTCCTAACCGTCCAGAACGGTTGCGTTCCTTCTCAAAACCGTCCAGAACGGTTGCATTCCAACTCAAACCCGTCCAGAACGGTTGCATTCCTTCTCATAACCGTCCAGAATGGTTGCATTCCAACTCAAACCCGTCCAGAACGGTTGCATTCCAACTCAAACCCGTCCAGAACGGTTGCATTCCTTCTCATAACCGTCCAGAATGGTTGCATTTCGATCAGTTGAAGACGTTTGTAATTTCTAGAATTGTTAAAAACAGAGAACTCACCCAACTCCTGTATTGAGCTACCAATAATTTCCCTTTCCCCTAGTAATCTTTTTTCATCAATACATCGAGAACGCTTGAATAACTCATTCATTTCATTCATAACTCGATAAGGTATGATGTTCTATTTTAACAGGGATACCCAACGAAGGACGAATTATTATTTCTGGCAAAGGTACATTTTCCTCATAGGGAATGGAGGTTGATAGTTTGTATCGACGGAAGAACCAAGATAGGACTGTTTTTTCTTCCATGAGAGCGAACTTTTGACCTGAAATTGATGGATAAGAATAAAGATTGGGAGAGCTATAAGATACCAATGCAATTTCTTGGTCCTGCACTGAAAGGAATGTAAGCATATGGTTGTCTTTTCAACAAGTTGTCATCAGCAAAACGTTCAGGGTTATAACTCTCTGGATTCTCGTACACCTACAAACCGAAACTTTAAACTATTATTTCTCATACTTGTATACCTCCTGATTCGTGTGTATGAGGAATGGTGTGATGATTACAGTGCTTCCTTCTGGTACAAGAAAACCATCTATGAATGTTAGTACATATTGAGAATAGCAAAGAGACTTACCAATTTCAATATCTTTCTCCGCTATTCGAGAAAACATAGGAACTGATGGTCGCAATCGCAGTGATTCTTTGATGCACCATTCTAAGTACTTCATCCTTTTCAAGTCTTCAGATGTACACTCTCGATCGGATTCTCCTGAGAATACAACTTCCATTAGAGGTCTCAGTCTTTAATCTTACCGAATATATCATAGAGTTCTTGAAAAATCTTTTCTTGGCAATCTGGATGATGAGCTAAAGACCATAGTGTCCAACCCATACTAGCCGCTGTTGTATCATGTCCTTCAACCACTAACATAGTTTATGAACAAAGTGCAGATCACACCTTCAAACATGAAGGTGTCCACTTCAGCACGAACATCTTCGTATGTAACTTCTCCCTTTGCTAGTAAATCAACCAGAAGGTCTAGAAAAGCTTTCTTCTTCCCATCATTCGAAGATAACTCCACTTCCGATAGCTTGTCATTTATAACCTTCAAACATGTTTTCCGTTTATAGAATATTTTTTTCACATTCTTTACCTTTCTTGTGAAGTCAGTAACAGTTTTGATAGTTTTGTTGTATTCTGGTCCATAGCCACTCAAATACCTATTATGCAAGGGTTTATGAGAAGAAAGACAGTTATAGACAAACCACACGATCTTCAACCACATCCAAGGCATTCTCTCATGTAAGAATGCCAATTCATTCAAACGTTTCACCGCTAACACATATGGATGGTTATGTTGGGTTTGAGCAGACACAGAAGTACCCATGGCTGTTTCTGCAATTGGAAAGAAGCTGTTTATATTGGAAAACTAGTCACTCACCACAAATTATATCAAGAGCACACCTCTTAATGTAAGGGAAGATGTCGAACATTCCATCCTTATCCGCATACTTGGAAATCTGTTCAACGAATATCTATAACTCTCATATTTTATAAAGATGAGCACAGAAGCCTATACCTGTGATTGAGCATCATGAATTTCGAGGAAATCGTTGAGGACTTGAAAATGGAATGATGGAGTTAACATCTTTCTTCGACTATGCCATTTCGAACCAGTTGAGATGAGTAAACCATTGCCCAACCATTCTTCTAGAATGTTATACTCCGGTCCTTTCGTGATGATCGTGTTACTCTCCAAAATTGCCTGAGGCTCAATATTACACATAACTCTATATGTAATTTGCTTACTTTTGCTGATTCTGGTCTGATACATAAAATTAAAGGACGAAATGATAACCAAATTTTGATTAAACCATGGCCTTGAGCAGAGTATTCGAGTCCCCAATCCCTCATTTGGTGGGCTAACTCTTAAACGAGACCAATTAACTTCATACAATTGGTTATAGTTACCTTGTGCATTCCATTTGAACTGCCAGGTGGTTCCTAATATAGGTATAGCCGTTGGTCCAGGCAGCTTATCAACATACTTTATCAATTTTAAACGATATTGAGCAAAATCGTACAGCCGTCTCCAGAAGTATACGAGGATGGCAACAGAGAAACATACAATGTAAATTGAACCACTGACCATTTCTGAAAGATATACCAATCAAAGAAACGTTCTCTCAAATGAAAAATGGGCAGCAGTAGCTATATGGTGAGGAAGTAATGTATGGAAGACTCACAACCAACCATAATTGGTGATACTGCGAGAACTTGCATATCTTTTTGTGGATGAAACTATACTCCTCTCTAATCAAAAATTGTTTTCCCTAAAAATTCTGAATGATAAGGATGAAGTCATGTGTTTTTTACATTCACATCCATGAAACAGTGGCAGCTTCTTCTTCCAGTTGAAATAGAACTTTTCATAAAAGGTTTCAACATTCTCGTCTGTTTAGTCATTCATTTGCTCTCTCAGTCCTCTGCTGAATCTAGCTATTCTTCTAATTTTTACTTCTCTCTCACCCCCCCCCGTCAACTCGTCCGTATTGATTTCTAAGCTCAATCCGCCTTTGCCCATAAAAAACGAGCTTGGAAACTCTCCTTTCACTCATTACAAAGCACTTGATTCAACATAACTTTGAAGGAAAACAAGCCATCTTCCAAATGTTTTTGCTTTCCTTCATACTCTTCTTAGATCCCTTATTGCCTTGCTTCCTCTCCTTCCCTCTCCAGTAGCTCACATCATGTTTGAACTTCTCCATCTTCAATAATTACAAAAACCTCCATCCATATTTCCTTTCCATCAAAATATTTACAATTCACTTACTTCCATCCAAAACGTCGTCTCTGGACTTCATTTGCTAAATTCATCTTGAATGTAAAAGCTTTTCCGTCTGTTTTTCTGTAAAATTAAGATTTTATTTATCCACACATATCTTATCAAACCTTTCATTCGGTTTTTTGGCCATCTTATCATCCTGCAATCCCAGATGATCGGGAAAAATATGCTCGGATGGCTTGCTTTCTTTGAAAACCACCCACCTTCACGACAAGACTTTGGAGAAGCTCACATCGTCTCTCTCTCTCTCTCTCTCTCCATCATGGCTTCTCTCCACAACGGCCATACTACTTTTCCCCTATTTATAGATGCACGAGGATCGTCAATCTCACGTAAGCCCTTACGTGCAAAATGAAAAACTTCCAGCTTCTCGGAATTCTGGAAAGAACAGCTTTAAGAGTGATGCGAAGGCCGTTTCTAACTTTCTATTTTCAGTTTATATATACATATGTAAGAAAAATAAATAATGGCGACGGGGGAAGAATGACATTTAAGGAGACTACTGAGTGATAGTTCGATCATAAAATATCACAGGAGGGTTGATGACTCTCAAAGTTAGTCATAACCCATTGTTATCATTTCTCATTCCAAATATAAAGAGTAACTTGATCAAAGGCTACTTCCCACCCCCACTTTGCATTCCTTGTGAGGCTTCCTTTGTAAGCACATGAAGCCCCTTACTGAATTCTCGTGCTGTCCTCAAAAGCATAACAAATGTTTCATTCATTCCTTCTCTTCATCAGTTCCACTAGTGAGTGAGTATATTGTTTATATTGTTATCAATACTAGTTTCCCTTAACTCTCCGTTTACAGCTCCGCCCACACATTACTGTTCCTAATAGTTGCTTTGCCCCTGATAGTCAATAATATAACATTTAATGTTCATTGATACAATATATTCGTCTAGAAGTTTGTAAGCTCAGGATTGAGCAGACTTGGAGAATGGGATGCTGGTTCTTATAAGGATCGCATTCAAATTGCGTTCATTACATCTTCATAGTTCAGCCTTTTCTTCTCAAAATAGAATCTCAACTACACGAAGTACAAGTTGTGAGAGACGCATTTGTGTGTTTTTGAATTTGGGACGAAGGATCTTCGTTTGCCTATGCAACTCTGCTCCTGTACACCCCTCTCTCAATAGAAACAAACTGTGCGCATGAAGTGAGCGATGCTTCCGAACCTCCCTACGTTATTCGAAACCACAGGACCTCACTATCATATGGATGAACTGTTTCAACAATTTTTTCTCTTTTAAGCCTCTTCCACACAATATTTTCTGTTGGTCTTCTAGCGTCATCGCTTGTTTTTTATATTTCCGGAAGCATTCTTCATCGGATTCTCGCTGGCGCTTTTTATACTCAGCCATCTGGTTAAACGCAAGTTTCAGATGAAAGAGCAGCTGCTTTATTTCTCCTCCACATCTCTCTCTCTCTCTCTCACTGCACATACCCAATCGGTGACAAACTTTTAGGTTTTCATAAGTTTAGAATGAGTTTAAGAGGAGAAGATGAGAGAAATAGCGAGTGCTAGGAAGAAAGAGGAGGAGTCACACACTTTGCTGATGAAACAACTGATAGCTTTCTTGAGTGATATACTTGTTTCTTCATCTTCTTCTCCTCTCCTCAAACTCCTATTTTATTTGCAATTAACGTCCCCATCAAAGGCTAATGACATCTAGCTTTTCATAGTTGAAGACATAATTGCCTTATAAAGCCATAGATGCCGATTCTCCCTCTTATATACCTCGTTTTCAATGGCAATTCATAAAAATAATGATAAGGGAAATCATATCAAGTTGTGTTTCGGGCGAAGACTCGCCTTTCTCCGATTCTCTCCATCTCTACTCAACACCGTCTCTTCTCGCTTTCTAATCAACTACATGAAAATGTTCCACACAAATTAGATTAAATCATTTGATTGTTCATTGAACTCAGAACACTACTCGTTTCTCTTTCTCTCTCTATATATGTGTATCTCTTTCTCTCATTCGCGCTCTCTTACCTCTATGCCTTTCTCTCTCTCTTTGTAGTGCGCTGAAGGAAAAATGGCTGTCTCTGTCGTTTTTTTGTAATTAATTTTGTCTTCTAAGCATCAACGATAATAATCTCGGAGCTAATATCAGCTTAAAACTACTAATCAGCTATCATTCAAGTCTCTCTCCATTGCTTACATTCTCTCCTCCGTCTGTCTCCTTATAAGTCATGTATTAGCGCCATTAAAGACGTTTTTTCATTGCCGAAAACGCAATAAGACATATTGAAAAAGAGACAATTGATGGCTAATAACTGTTTGTATTCCAACAGATTTTAAACAGACAGCCCGATCAGGAATGGCAGTCTCTTGCTTGTCGACATCAATTTTCATATTTCGATTTCCTGGGATTACTTCAAATTGCTCTTTCCAGCGACTTATTTCGTAATCATAACTCACTTAGAGCATGTTTTCATCATCTACACTACACTCTCTCATCTATTCTACCTCTTCACCATCTCTCTCACTCTCTGATGAAAGTCCAATTACATTCTTTCATAACAGGAATGTTTTCAGTTTATTCTCTTATGATAACCTCTCCTCGTGTTATAAAAGTAATAAAATAAATATAATCACTCCTCTCATTTAGGAACATACCATTCTATCTTTATCAACACACAAACACTGTCTCACACACAACTATGTCTTCTTCGGCTCGATTAACTCTCTGGCTTCGGTGTGGAGTTGATGGCGTTCGACCATGTGGGGACCCATCCTCACATTATCTATTTATGCTTTTACTTTTGAAAGCAAAAACTGATCCTCGTTTAAAATTCGATGTTCGAACTTTGAACGAGTCCAAACCACCCCCAGAATTCCGTGAGGTACGTGAAAAATTTGCATACGTGGGAAATTGACGGATTTCAATACGCGCGCGGCTCATTTACGTGGTGTGTACGCGAGGAGAGCGGTTGCTAATCTTCACTCAGTGTTTGCTTTTTAATTTTTTGTTGCTATTTTAGACTGGTGCTCGGCGCGCTCCTGCTTTACAAGTCTCTGAGGAAACAGCATTCTCTCACGAGGATGACATTTTGGAAGAAATAGATTGTTATGAGCCAACAAAATGCTCAGACGAGGACGCAGAAAACGCAATCGCTGATCTCTTCCGCAGCTTTGCATTTTATATTAAAGATGTTAAAGACAGTAAAGTACAAACTAACTATGACTTCCTGTCCAAATGCTTTTATACTTCAGGGTTTATCAACGGAACTCTACAGATTGGATGAATATCTTTCCGCTAATGAGCATAAATTTCTTAGTGGCGACGAGGTGACATCATTGGATTGTCTTTTACTTCCTCGTTTACACTCCATCAGAATAGCTGCAAAGGTTTCAATTTCCATTGTGATCAAAATATAAACTTTCACACATTGTAGGCTTTGAAAGATTACGATTTTCCCAGTGATTTGACCCACGTAAAACGATACTTGAACAATGGTTATCAGCTCGACATGTTCCGAACCAGCTGCCCATGTGATCAGGTGCCTGCAAACAAAGAGGATTTTGCATAATTATCTAATTACAGGAAATAATATTGCATTGGATTGACCGGCCAGGTACTACACCAATCTGTTCAGCAAAACGATCTCAGATATCTCGTCAAGAACCTAAGTATTCATTTTCCATTTAAGACAGTGTTCCAGCATAAAAGTTATAAAATATTTACTTCCACTTCCAACAATCTTAGCAATCAAACGAAGAGGAAATGCATTATGCAAGACACTTCCAAGAAGAATCTTTTCATCACAATTTTTGAAATTATTACATTGATAAGAGAGAGAGAGAAAGAGAAGGGTAATGCACAGGCTCTAATCTAATAATGTACTGTTAGCCGACAGCATTAAAACTATAAATATAATATATATATTCATGTCCATATATATATATATATATATATATATTGAGAGAGAGAGAGAGAGAGGGAGAGAGATAGAGGGAGATATATTTCTTTACATGCAGAGATCTTAACTAGTAATTTACAGAAAGGAAGGAGGTAGTGTGATCGAGCGATCAATAGTAATTGACTAACAAATTTGTAAAAATAATAAAGTTCAAGGTGCAAAGTATCAACAGCGTTAGAAACTAAAACATGACGAAAAATGTCCTGAGATGAGAAAATAACAATCTATTGCCATATGAATTATTAACAAAATTTACAAAAAATAAGGTTACCCATTTGGAAGAAATTTACAAAAGTTGTTCATACATGGACGGATCGACTAAGTCGACATCCATCAGTTGGTCTGTATCAATATCCAGCGAACTGTCTATCGTTCGACTCTCAGAAGCCTTAACAGATATTGGTTATATAAGTATGATAACTGCTATCCTTACCTTCCGCCTATCTTGCATCCTTCTGGATTCTATTTGGTTATGGGCATCTGACAGCTGTGTTTCGAACAACTTTTCCAAGGAGTCTGCACATATGGCAACAGTTCCTTCCTGAATTATAATTTGTAAGCCAATATGATATCTTCGCACAAACCTTGAAGTATGTTCGTGCATTTTGGAACATTAGCCGGACATCGTCAGCGAACTCATCGAGAGTATGATATTCTAAGTCTTCTAATTGTTTTTGAATTACTGATAAATCTGTAAAGTACACTCTTGAGAAATGCTTCAGAAATTCGAACTACCTATAGGTTTCAAAATAATTTTCGAGTATTCTGGATACTCGTCTTCGGTTATTGGTTGACGGAAAGGCCATGCCATCCTGTGGTCATAGAGCACTTCATATAGCTTCCAAAGAATTGGATAATCTGATCGACTGAAAAGGAGAAGAAAATTAAGAGAAATGAGGGATTAAGGTATGTACTTCAAAGGAGTTCTGTTGTTGCAGTCACTATCAGCTGAATCATAATCATCGTCTTGTCGGGATCCCTCAGCATTATCTCTTGCTAGACTACATTCAGGGCACAGATATTCTGGGATTTTCTCCACAGTTCTGAAGAAGCAAAATAGAATTTATATTAATTAAGCTAGACGTACTCTCTTGATATTCCAACACATTTGGGATGGAACCAACCTTGACATCCATCACATCCAACATAAAATCTGAAGCATAGATTTCCTCTGAGATAAAGCTAAGGCGTGACTTACTCGGATTCATTGTACTCCGTCTGACACTTGCAGTAGAGAGGGACCTGTTTTGGAATATCGCAATGAGGACAAGTCCATGAAGTCAAGTTATCAATATCGTCTTCGGATATTCCAACACATTTACCGTGATACCATTGACCACAGTTGTTGCAAGCCAAGTAGAATCTGAAGAGATCAACTAGTACAGCGCTAATGAACCAAGAACAAACCTGAATGGATTGTAGCGTTTCTGGCAAAGGCAATGAAGAGCATTGATATCCATTCCTTGTGGAGGAGGTCTGCGGACTTTCTTGCGTCCTCCACCATCGGAATCATCGGAAATCTAAACAACAACTTGAAAACTCACACGTTATACTTTGACTTACTCCATCTGTACTATCATAAGGTCTTTTAGGAGGTCGACCACGTCGTCGAGGAGAAGCAACAGCTCGTGATTCTTCAATAAATCCTGGTTCATCTTTGACCTTTCGTAGCTTTTCCAATTTCTTTGGACTTTTTGGAGGTTGAGGAGACCATCTCGTTGCTGAAAAACATTTTGATCAGATATATCCTTTTGGTGTTCAGAACTTACTTGATCGTCTTTCAGTTCTCCGTTGAGGTGACTGCACTTCTATCAAGTTTTCGACGTCAACGTCTTGTAAGAAATTCTAAACATGTTACTATGTGTTGTTTTTCAATTTATTGGCTCTCACCTCATCCAGAATCTCCTCTTTCTTGATACTTCTTGGCTCAGTCCATTTGACAGCATCGCCACCCAAACTAATTTCAGCTGGATTAACAACTTGACGTGGGGCTTCTTGCTCAGGAGAGTGTTGTCTTTTGGGAACTAAAAATGTAAAGCTTTATGAAACGAACATACAAGAGTGAACAATTAGAGTAAGGAAAGATCTAAGTTCTAAGTTACGGACCATTTACAACGATGCCTATATCATCGCCTGCATCAATCTGGGCCTGATCGTCAATGGCCGGACAGAATGCTTTGCCACAATCAAGTAAATGACCGAACTTTTTCCAATCCTCCTCTTCAGAAGCGAATTTAGGAATTTGTTCGAGGAAGTCATCCAATGAAGGGCAGGAAGATAGTGAACATAGTGCATCAGCATGACTAATACGGTCTATATCAGGAGCGATAGTCATGATTACAAACACTAGTTAGGTTTAAGTAAGTAATAAGGAATATGGTTTCAGTAGAATGATTAAGCGCGTGAAAGTGTTGAGTCAGTTCTAGGAAACTTTTGAACTTTCTCCGTTCTGTCCGCCTTATATATGGAGGAAAGACGGCAACTCGAATAATCGCGAAACGTCTAGAATCTCTTCAAATCACATTAACTATTCACTCTCCATTGTCTGCTCCTCTATCCTGTCATTCACATCTGTTTGGTCAACAGAAAATCTTGTGACCTCTTTACGCGATGCAGTCTCTCTTTGTTGTCCATTCTCCCAATTAAGTGACCACGAGAATGATGTCAGACATATGACCAAAAGAACACACAAGCCGAAACATCCGAACTGTCACGTCCCTCGTATAGGCAAGGATAAACAGCAGGAGGCTCTTCCTCTTCCCCGAAACGATGAAATGAGCGAACTGACCTTTTTGTCCCCTCCCTTTGGATTTTCGCCAAGGTGTCAACAAACCACATCCCTCCTCCGCTTGATTTTCCAAAGCAGTTCTGACAATCAAAAAATGACCGGTTATCTTTAAATAGAACAAACCTCCTCTTGTTTATTTCTTTTCTAAGACGATCCACGTGTTGAGCTAACATGACTTCCCTTTGATTTGAGAACATTCTCCTACTTCTGAAAAGGAACATGTTACCGGTTTTATTCAATTATCCCACCTAAGCTTGTCTAGCTCGAATCTGTTTCTTGGTCTTTTAAGATGAGACTTGTACCATCCATGTTGTTTATCCCACCGACATACTTGCGTGATTATAGTATCAAGCATCTTAAAGTGAAATCAGGGGGGTAAGACGGATTGAGAAATTACCTGTTTGATGGATTTCTGTTCTGGACTGTCATCTTTAGAAGGCATCAGATTGGATGAGTAATTCAGAGGCTGCTTGCTAAGCTGAGAAAAAAGATTTGTTCCCACTTGCCCATACTGGTTGATGATCCGAGCTTCAAGAGTTAGAACGTAACACAGAATGTATAAGGAGAAACTCACGATGTTGCCAATGATGCTCAGTACGATTTTGCCCTCTCTTACTTTCCTCTTCCTGCCTCATCAACTCCTCTTCCCTTCAATGGATGATATGATCTGTTGAAATGCTTTGAACATTACCTGGCGATGGCTTCAGCAATCGCTCTTTCCTCATCCTCATTCGATTCGAATTCGAAACGGTATGGCCGAGAAGGAAGTCTACACGTGGCTATATAAGCTGTATCATTGGTAACTCAAAACCTCATGTTATCCACTATCCCCCGTTTCATACAAAACTCCTTATAACTTGTGATCCTCCTATTAGACACTTGGAGAGATCCTCGATAGCCATTCTAAACTAAACCATAAAAAAGCATAACAACAAATGATGAAGCATGATGCCGCAGTCGAAGAAGAAGAACTGTGATGAAAACAAAATCTCGATTTCCGCCATGAGCTCTCAATCGAAAACATTTCTACATAAACGCTTTTTCTTTATTTCACCCACACGCATCACACAATATGTCGCAGATCGTGTGAGGTCACGAACAAGATTAGAATTCAAAATTTTTATCAGCATAAAACGCTACACAATTATTCATATGGACACTAATGAACATAAAAAAGAAAGTAAAAACAAATTATACTCGTCATTTAGAATAAGACAACATTAGTTGGACGTCAAAGTGAAAAGTAGAAATCTGAGAAATCAAAACCTCACACGATCAACGAATATTATGAGAGCACGAGATGACTTAATAAAGAGTAAAGCGAACAAATAGAAATCTTTTCAAAACTCGCAATTAGCCGGTTGGGGACAGACAGTAGCGAGAATAACTATTGCTCCATGGCTGGAAAATCATTATAATTTCCATCAACCATATATCCTTCTTCATAACTTGCAAAATCATCTTCATTAGTTGAACTTGAACTCTGAAAAGAGGACAGTTGCTAACAGTTCATGATATCTAACACTCACCACCGCCATAACTTGACCAACAGGAACACCCGACCCATTACGGGAGATTATTCTTTGTACAGAACGACCATAACCGTAAGCTTGAGTAACTCGAGCTGGCGGTCTACCTGGAGGTCTGATACCTTGATCAGCCATTTGAGTATACTCCTGAAGAATTTTTATCACTCAACAGTTTCTCAACAAACTCTTACATCGACAGAGGCATTTTCACCGTAATAACCCTGATCTGTTCTAATAGGCACAGGCCTATTGACTCGACGGACCAGTTGAACATTGGATTGAACAGGCATTCCACCTGGGCTCCCAATCGCTGGTTTTTGTTCAAGTGCAACTCTTTTAACGTATTGATCGTCTCCAGCCTCGAGTCGAGATACCATCCGTGGTTTCGCTGTCATAACTTGCTGACCGTTCTGGCCAATACGTAATACTTTCGCCGCCCCGTCTACAGGTCTAACCATGCTTGTTCGCGCGGTAGTTATGATTCTTCTTTGAACTGAACCAGGTGTATTTGCATTTTGCTCAGATGAAGTTGATCTGAACAGAAGTGTAATTTTAGTATTGGAGAACTTTTCCTTACGGATTTGTTTGATTTACAACTGCTCTAATAACTGGACCACCAGATGTAGAAGCAGAATCTCCATCGTTGGTGTTCACAGGTCTTAGAAACTGTGTTGATCCATCAGAACGCCTTATCATCAAAACTTTCCCTTTCTGAGTTTGTCGCTGGAAACAGGGCGTCGTTGGAAAATTTTTTCCACTCTTCATATCTTACCTGAATGGCTTGTTGCGAATACACCACTTGGCGAGGCTGAGCTCGAGAAACGTTTGAACTGTACCCACTTGCAGGACTATCAAAACGTTCTATACTAGGTGGAGCATCAACTCCGCCAGCAGCTCTCAAAACCCTCTGACCAGAGTTTGTGACAACTTCTTCAGCGCCGATTTGCGGAGTGTTACCATTGGACATGGTTACCCTCCTCATGCCGTCCCCAACCGGCTGAAAATAACAATATTAATAAACAGTACAAAGCTTCATAAATTGAATTTTTTTGCACTCAAACTAAAAATTTTCTATTGCCGCGCTGAGCGAAAGTAGCGTCTTTGGCACGTGATCAAAAAGAAAACGCCTGAGCGCGCGGAGCGTACGCGTTTGCTAATGGAGCGCAAATAGTAGAAAAGAGCGCGCCTGCAGAAAGTAAGTTGATCTTAGATAAGATACACTTGCATTGCTTATCTAATCTCCTCGAATCGTATCTAATATAATACATTACCTGTCCAATCATTCTACCACCTCCGATTATCATGCCTCCGTTATACTCGTACCCATTAGCAATTCTTCTATTCGGGCTTCCAGGAGAATCTTGAGTGGTGAAAACTATTCTCGCTCTCTTTGCAACTAAAATAAAGTTTTTTAATAATTCATGAAAACATTGCACTAACGAGAAGGCCTCATATCATCATCAATGTTCTGATCATGTTCATCATAAGCATAATCCTGAAAGTCATTAAGTTGTAATCAAATGAAGTGACATTCAACTACTTGAGCTTGCGACGTGTGAACTCTTTTCCATCGTTCATTTGATCCAGGATACGGACGAACCATTGGTTTCATATGAGGATTTCCGGGAGTGAACACTGAAAATGAGCAATAGTAAAATTAAAATTTTTCCAAAATTACTTGGGCTTCTCATTCCAACATTCATTCGTGGAGTATGAACAGCGTTCTTAGCCTTGTGCTGAACAATTTTCTCCTTCGCCAAAACAACTCTTTCTTCTTGTTCTTGTTTTTCGAGACTCTCCTTAATCTTTCTTTCCCAATATTTCCTGAAAAAACAAAATTAGAAAATTCCCTCTGACATGGTACTTACCTGATTTCAAACACTTTGAGTTCAACACCATCTATCCATTGCTTTGTAGTCTCTTTAACTTTCCTGACTGCCACACGAGTATTTGATCTTTTAGGACGAGAAGCAGAACCTGAAACACCTCCTTTAAGCAAGAAAAACTAAAACTAAGTAATAACCTCGACTGACACGTCTATCTGCTCTATCATTGTAATCATCGTCATCATCCCGAAGATCATCCTCTAACATTAAAGCCTTAAAAGTATAAATAAACAAATGAAAATAATAATAGCGATGTGCACAGCCGAGTCTCGGGACAGCAAATAGAAAAATGAAGACGCACTTTTGAATGCCACGTACAGTCATGTTCACGTATGCTAATTTTTTAATCGATCGTACTCACCTCAATTTCAAGCAAATAGCGCTCATATGTTCCATGAGGAGCAAGTTCTTGATGATCGACTATTACTCTTATATCATCTCGATCCATTTGATGTACGATCAGCCTGCCAGCATCTGTTTCCTATTAAGAACAAGAATGATTGAGAGAACATGCGGCAGTATTTACTTCCTCTCCTGGATCGAACTCGAGCCATTTAACACAGAACCAGAGAATCTTCAATTGCAGGGCGATAGCTTGTAATGATCGGGCATTGGTAACAAGATATCTATAAAAAATCATTTTTAATTCTCGCATAACAGTCTTACCTCCAGCATAAGTCGAAGCATGGTCTGGAACAGGGATAGTTCCATAAGGTCATGTTACTCTTAGCTGATAGTGAGAAATTAGGAATATACATTGCCTTTCGACCACCAGATTTGGCCAATTTGCGCATGATGCTAGAAATAAGACAAAAAAATTGAAAATTGAAATACAAATGCAATACTTGTCCGCTATTATCAAAACGCTTTTGCGCTTCGAGGTCCTATATGTGAACTTGTTAGGTCTGATTAAAGGCCATTTGAATTCAGAATCGGGCGTTTGCTCAGGAGCACATGGAACCACAGCTTTCTTAAAAGCTCTAGCAGGTACAACTGTGTTAGTATCTGGAAGAGGAACTATATTGTTAGCAAAACCTGAGTATGTACCTTTGAAATCTTCGGCATGCAGTTCACGATAACGAAGATAGGTAGCACGACAAGTGCTCGAATAGCACAGCTGCGAAATATCCAAACTGTCGCAAGTAACAGAACTGTAAAAATAAATGAAATAGGAACAGAACAATTGATATCTCACGCAGTTATGAGTCCCATACGACAACTAGGAGAATAACAAACGTTTTTTGCTTCTCTAGCAGCTTCCTCGTGAGCTCTCCATTTCAGAAGTCTGTCATTAAGCTTTCTCAGACGACCAACTTTGTCTTTCAAAACAGTTCTCTTGAATAGCCATAGGGTTAAAGAAAATTCTATACGCAATTACCTCCGATTCATCCATATCATCAGTCTCACGATATTTCGGAATGGGACGTACATCACGCATCAAACCACGAGAAACCCACATCCATCCACCTAAAGTACCTCTGCCAGCAACGCGATACACTTCATCCTGAAGAACCAATTTATACTTGTAAATCAAAGATAACAAACTCTTTGTCTCCACAAGCTCTGGGGACAGGTCTTTGCGGTTGTTTTGGTGTACTTCACTCTGATTATAGAATCATCATCATCATCTCCACCCATAGTAAGATCCTACATAAATGGGAATGTCAGAATAAATGTATTAAGAAACTTCCACACTCACCCTGTCTTCTTTCTTTTTTCGTTGCATCTCTTTAGACTGTTGATCTCGTTCGTCTACAGTTGTGCGAGTTAACCTAGTGTGTCCCAGGCTACTCCAAAACTGTGGAAGGAACAGCGTTCGCCTCATACAACATTCCATCATCAACAAAGCTTTTGATAGATCGCCGTAGTTATCCGCTTTAGATAGCAACTGAAAAACATTTTTTTCAGAAGGTTGCAAGGAAATTTACTCACAACTCGAAACTGGTCGCTCACTTCTCCCCAGCGCTGATGCATCATTTCGACTGGGATTTTCTTTGCCATTCTAGCAAGTGTCCATTCTATGTACTTTGCTTGTAGACGATCATTTCCATACATATCCCGACCACGAGCAATAGACCACTGATTTCAATTATGTAAGAAGGAAGAGAGAGGGTAATGATCATACCTGGAAGACCCCATCCCCTTCATCGACTATGGCGAATCTGGTCGAGAGATACTTCTTTTTGTCCAGAATCTTCTTTCGGAACGCTGGGCTCTCAGCAAAATCATGTCCATTATAATGATTTCGATATTTTCTTCAAATGGAAAGTTAGCAGAACGATACCGAGTCATATCAAACCTGAAGAAGTCATCATACTTGCATCCACCCATCACGAAATAATCTTTTGATTGAAGGAATTGAGAGACATCTAGTTTCACAACATGATGTTCTTAAAAGTTAGAATGAGTGAAGAACCTAAAGGAACGATGAACCTGCATAGTAACCGCTCCAGAAGGAATTGGTGAGATGGTTTTCTGCAACACCAAGTAAGGGAAGAAGCCGATCGGGGAGAGGCTGATATTCAAACTGTAAAACAGAAATATTTATGCCCTTCTGAGATAAAGAGATAACCTCGTCGACTTGCTCAGTTTTTACAGTCTTTGGGCCTTCCCAAAGATTCAACAAAATATGTTTCATTCTATTAACTGAAAAGAGGAAGCAGTGAGAGATGGGAAGAAGAGGACCTACCATTGTCCAAATGAAGATAACAAGTGAGGTTATTATTTTTATAAATATCTTTATTAGAAACAATTTCAAACCGTTCTATGCTTAATTCAAGAGTAACAGACATCTTAAAGAAGAAGAGTTTTTGGTTTTGGAGAGGAAGAGAACTGACCTGTTCTGCAATTTCTTGCAATTGCTCACAGAAAGTTTTACATAAATTATACTCAAGAAAATGAGGATCCATTCTCGAGAAGACCTCATATAACTGGGGTAAAGTGGAATAGTAGAACAATTCACTCTCATTCTCATCTTGGCTGAACATAACTCATTGTAAAGAGATCTCGGTAAGAAGTTACTCACATGATTAATCGTCTAACGACGAACCAATAAATTCGACCATGCCTATCTCTTCCTAGAGATTCCATTCTTAGGGGCTGTTTACTTTTCAAGTGTTCAAAAGGTAAAGCATCTGTCACACCACGAATCTATAAGAAACCGATAAGCTTCACCAAGTTAGGCATACACTCACTGAGTTGACTTTACAAAGCTCGCAATGGTATTCATCCTGCTTTTCCGTTAATCCCACACATGCAATATGGAATGATGCCTCACAGTTATGACACCATTGTACAACACCACTTTTGCCACAAACACGACAAGCATCATCATTCTATGAAAGAAAGAATTACAACTTAAACTTGAGATGAGAACTTACTACAAAACGACCGGCATTACTTAAAACTTTCCTGTATTCTGTAGAATCCAAAAAACGATAACATAAGAAGGCAATAACAGCTACACGTATGGCAATATCAACAAAGGGATAATTGGGTTCATTAACAGCTTTTAGAATTTCTACAGGTACACGTAATCGATTTTTGTCGGATTCCAAGTATTGTCGCAAAATCTGAACGGAACTCTCAATCACTAAGCCTTCCATGAGGGATATTCAAACCTCAGCGTAAGTCATGGAATCCATACAGTAAACCATAATGTTAAATGCATTGTTCGTATCATTAACAGAGTAGTGAATCTATAGAAACTCTCATCGATTGCTTGAATAAACGTTTTGTCTCACCTGATCTTCGTCATCACTTTTAAGGCAAATTTTCAGAAGAGCCATATGGATCTCTGAGAGCAGACAAGAGTTATCAGAAGAGCTCATGGCAGCACAGAAATCTTCAAAGCTGAAAGCCGTCAGTCGCAACGTTCGATGATAACTCCTTATTATTTCATATAACTATAAGTCATTGCCTTATTTGACATTTTCAATCTACTCATACTTCTATCATGTCCATTATAAGATCAGCATGCACCGGGATATCTGAACTGGACTCAGGCAACTCGAGAATAGGATAGTTCGCTTCATCGTCTAACCACGGACAAACAATGTCCTTAAAATTTAGTAATGTACATGTACAAGCAGAAACAATTCCTTACACTTGAGTCAGGATCTATTTTTACATGTTCGCCAGTGTCATCTGATTCATGGTCTGACTCTGGTTCGGACACATCAGGTTGTTCTGAAAAATATATATATGCGAGGAAACGTATGAAAACATGGTTAATCATTGAGAAAATAAAAAAGTACTAACCAACTTCTGCGACTAAGAAATCCTCATCTTCTTCCTCTTCTTCTTCTTCTTCCGACCGACTTTCATAACCGTAATTCTGCTCTATCTCTTCTTCTTCTTCCCATGGTGCACTTCTTCTGAAAAAATGGAAAAAAATAATGGAGGTGAAACAAGAAAAAGACTAACGGCTTTGACTTTCTTCCTCCTCTGCGCGAAGATGAACCTCTACGACGTCCACCTCGTCCCCTCTTCGGTGTGCCACTCGTTCCTGATGAGCTTACAATTTCTGCATTCTGTCGAACTTTAAGGGAAGGCACTCTTAACCTTGGCATGGCTCCCTACCATGTGAATGGAAGGCTACCTGAACAGGGAAATGGAAAAGTGAAAAAATTGCTTCGAAAGCAAAAAAAAAGGTGATGGAGAGTAGGTTAGAAAACAAAAGAAATACAACGAGAGAGATAGAGGACAGTGATGATGACCGAGAGAGTGAGAAGAGACTTAAGACACTTACAGCACAACTCAATAACGATGCGGGCAAAAAACGATATATCGAAATTAATTTCATAATTTAAATCGGCTGAAGTCAGATAATGTTTTGAGCTCTGTTATACACGTGCGTTACGAAACACAGTTGTCTGCGTAAATGACCTCTATGTCTATGACGGACCTCCACGCATGTCTGCATGTCTGACTCTGCCGTTTTTCACAATAATATCTACCTTTTTCCTATTAAGGCGTAAAAAAGAACCTAAGCAAATTATAATTTCTTATTCGAGAAACCATTAAGCTACTTATCCGAAACTGTATATCCTCCTTACCGTGATCATAATAATTTTTAAATTCTACGGTAGTTTAGATTAAAATATAATTTCGTGGCAGGACCCCAAAAAGCGGGTATATTTATTATTCAAAAATTACAGTGATAAACTTGGAAAGTTGAATGCTTCAGCACTTATCTTATGGCTTTTATCTGTTTTTTCATGTTAATTCAAGCCCTATTCATGTTTTTCAGATGGATATAAGGAATTTGACTTTCGAATCTGAACGTAAGAAGTTGTCTGAGTCGTTGTTTGAACACAATGATGCCCCTGCGGGTGCTGAGTTGATGGAAATCTTGTCTGCGGGTATCAACGATTTCATTAAGGTATGCATATGTGTATGATAATTGAGACCCCTTAGTTTTCAGCCTGATAGATGGGATAACTTTAATAAATTGACAAAGAGAATGGAGAACGCGTGCCAACTCTTGAAACAAACGAAAAGCACAAGTCTCAGAGAAGACAGAGGTTGGGACATCCACTACGAACCTATCATTACTTCATCTCGTTCAGAACTGCAAAACAAGATTGTCATGTTGAATAGTAAACTCTCCCGTCAGAATGAGAAGTTGGAAGATATTCAGAGTCACGTAGAAAAAGTTGATACTGAAAACACAAGAATCAACGAGCAAATATCGGCTGACCAAGAGATTGTAGATGGCAAGACCTTTAAAACACATTTGATGTATAAGGAAATCCTTTTTAGATATAAGGAAGAAATCTTTCGTCAACCAATCTAGTATAATGACTTCTGAACGCAAATACTTTGGAACTTTGCAGAACATCTGTACCAAAGAGATCCGGAGGTTAGTCAATAAACACAACCTCTTAAAGCTTAGTTTGTAGGAATGAAATTCTGAAAGCATCTAAAACTAGTAACGTTGTCTGTTATGAGAAGGAAGGAGTGTTCCAGGTGAGTACTGTTATCTAAACTATAACATGCCCATCTTAAGATGGCCCCTCTCAATGACTGTAAGCCGATTATCACTTCTGAAGTAGACTCTACGGAAAGCCTTGATGTTGTTCAAAGATTACAAGATTTCCGTGAAAAGATGAACGAGCCTCCAATCGAAGAGGTTAGTTAGGCTTCTGCTTCTTCTTGTATTTCAAACCTTGAAGGATGAAACTGAAAATTTCGAAAACAACACATTCGTGAGATCGAACATACAATGCGAAAGAACTCTAGGAGAATCTATTGACATGGGAGGAGACCATGCCGACGAGTAAGTGTGTACTTGATTGAGCCTTCTTGATTTACTTTTTAAGGCAGTCTAGTGTAGAAGCGATGGATTACTCTGATTGTTGTTGAAAGAACTAAGTCTCTGTACATCTTATCCTAATCCCGTTTAACTAATTAACAAAACTGAAATATTCAGATCTTTAGAATACCGCGAGCGGCTTTTTTTCGAATTGTAGCCTAAAATAGGAAAGTTAGACACAGACCCATAATTTATTTTTCGTTTGAAACTTCAGCTTTCCATTTCAGCAGTTGTATCGTATACACACAACAGATTACGATAATCATACATGAAGCATATATAACGCTAGTAATCTGTTTTAAAAACGTCATGACTAAGTTAGATGCACATGGTTCTTTCCAAATGTAGTCCCTGTAGAAACATTTCCCGTATGATAACAATATTTTAAACTCAAACTAACTCCTTATGTCTGATTTGCTTAGATTTACTGATGGTCAAGCATTGCATAGACTTGTTCTTGCAACAAAATGCTGGTAAGATCTCCTATATTAATCTTTTTTTTCCCATATATCAACATTTCACTCATACCTGATTTTCTATTACTTCATTTGTGTAGTTATAGCTGAATAACACTCTTGTATTTATCTGTTGTTTGAATGGTCTTAGCCTTCAGTAATAAACTTAAGTAATACCTCGCGTGTCATCTCATTTTGCCATTGCTGTCGATCAATCCCGCAGCATTTCAACTTCAACCAAAAAAATTTATGTTTGCTTCATACACAAGTGCTCACTCTATTTGAGATCGACCACATATGATCTTTGGCACTCTTACCCGCTATCAACATGTCCGGTGTTTCCAGTGCGGTATTGAAAATACGTTCGTAAGACTCTATATAAGGATCAATCAAGCCTATTTTATCATTCGGGAATCGTAAAACATCTACGGCAAGAAAGGCTAAAGTTTAAAAAAAGGATAGTTATGTTGAGAATGACATGACGTACTAGCTGAAGCTCCCAAAAGTACACTTTGTATTATTAGAACACTCGATAGCATGAGACCTTCTGATATCGATACCCCAAAATAGAAAGTCTGGAAAAAACAAGGATGAAATGTTTTCCAAAATACCTCTATCGGACTTTTGGTATAGAAATCATGAGAATGATCGAAATGGCAATACCGGTGATTAATTCCTTGACATATAAGATGTGTGTGCTGTTCTTCATCTGCGAATAGAGAGTTTATGAGTCCCTTCTGTATTGACTGAACAACTTCCGAATATATATCTTCCCCTTCGATAATTTCTTTGAACAATTCAGTGCTGGTGAATAATGGATGCTTTTCATGGAAAATCAACAACAGCCCTGTTGAAAGAAGAGTCAAGTACATTGAGAGCTACAAAAAACATATTTTCCTTAATGCAAAGTATCAAACCAAAACTATTTGAGAAGCCAAGGATTTCAGGACATAACTGCGATGATGTAAACGATTCTTTTGTTGTTTCAGCAAATCCTTAATCATCCCCTTATCTGAAAGTACTCAGTTCAGGCGGTTGGCGCTCTTCTCGCAATCACTTTTCTTTGCGGGACTGAAATTGAATAAATTTGCAATTTGATTGTCCTCTTCACTTATCATTGTCTCATTTTACTGAAGTTTCTAGAAAAATAAGGTTTAATTTAATGTAAAACTCTAATATGATGAACACACAACCGCATCCAACGATTGTCTTCTTAGAAATGAATTGAGTTCACGTAATTCACGTGAAACGTTTCACGTAACCGCCTGTCCCCGTGGACTTGTTTTTGAACTATTTCGACTGAAAACTAAAATGAAAGCTTCATCAGATTTGAAATAAAAAAAAAGATTTAAAAAAAATAATTTTTATTATTTCTCATTAGAAATTAAGTGAATGAGTTGAAAGGAACACAATGATAATGGGAGATGTTATTGCATCAGAGGAGAATCAAAAGACGTTTGGAACGTATTTTTTCATTCTTTGATAACATTTAATTTCATAATAAATACAAATTAGGAGGAAGAGTGTGAGGAGACTAGCACTGAGGATTGCTTTGGCTTCAGTATCGTTGAAAATGAAGATGTTCGATACTATGAATGTCAAAATCGCTATGAAGATCTGTAAAGAGGATGAAACGCTCTAGCTGTGGCTGCAAGATGTTACCGTATAAACAATGTGCGGGATAAGAAAAATGTATCGGTTAGTTATGATGACATAAAAAACGAAAGTGAAAGTGAACATCCAAATGATGAGAGCTGCCAAGCCGATGAAGATTGGATATCTGCAAAAGAAAATGAAGGGGCTAAGAGGTTCAATGCGGAACGGACCTCATGACACTATTAATGAATAAATGATAATGACCAGCTATATTCATGGATACTTTAACCAGGAATATAACACAGGTAGCTAGTTGCAATAGGGCGATAGCTAATAAAGGGATTTTGATAGGCAGGTAGATGTTGGGGTCATCAACAGGCGGCGGAGCCATCATTTGGACGTTCACTATTGCAATCGTTTAATTTCGATTTGTTTATATTTCTGGTAATTCTTCAGTTGTTGTAGTCCATTCAGCGTGATTATAAATATAAGCGAAAGGTAGCAAGGATGAGAAGAAGAGAATTAGAACGACTCCAACGAGGATGGGCGAGCCAGCAACAACTGCAGACACTATTATACACAAGGAGACTGGCCAAGATATAGCCTGCAATGAGTGAGTTAATGAAAATGTGTTTCAGACAGATCGACAATGTTTAGATTCAACCACTGTTGATCCTCTTTGCCCAAAATGGAATGCAATGTGAAAAACGACTAACCAGCGCAAAGATATGTTGTTTGATTATTCCAGCACAGTTGAAGTGAAGAAATATGAAAACTAAGACTAGTGATATTATCAGAAGTAACAGCAAAGACATGAGAACAGCACAAGCCCATCTGGAAGAAGAAACAATTAGGACTCTGACATTAAGTGCTCCGCTTACAATGGTGTATAATACTCCCTGAGATGATAACCAACGCCTTCTGTCCAGCCATGTAACATGCCAATAGCCGTAATACCCATAATGAGAAGAACCATTTCACCAGCAAGAACAACCTGAAAAACAATTTTTTGTTAAACTTCGTGTGTCCCCCTCTACACACCTGATAATCCATAGCCATTTTGGATTGAGAACCTAGGTCATAGACGTAACCGTACGAAATTCAAAAATGATTGAGCACGTAATAAAAATTTCTATAAAAGGAAATAAAAAATGAAATAACTTAATAATAAAAATTACCAGCTGTCGTTAGTACACAAACACCAACAAGCCAGTTGAGTTCAGTCAATTCGAATTCAAGTAAAACTAGAAGGAGTACTCTGCCCACAAACAAACTGTAGATAAGCTGAAAAGGCCAAATGAAATGTAGCCCGGAGGTTCAGGTGGGATTTGCTAATGGTCTGTTTTAACAATTCCCTCTATCCATCTCTGAATTTCTCTCCCCTCGCAACAATCTCTCTTACTTCATCCTTTCGCTGCTTAATATTCATTCATCCACGGTAATTTAGAGATTATCGCCCTAGCGACGGTTGCAAAACGATTTCAAACGAAATTGGAAAATGGCGTAAACAAGATCGAAATTAGAATATTAGTTCATTATTCCATTTAACTATATATCTATAAACTCAAAAATAATAATAAAAACTTACCAATAATAAAATATGTGGTAATATTAATATTTTCTTATGTCCTGATAATCCTAACATCGAAAAGATAGTTGCCCATATCATCAAAAAGCTCATAGCACAAAACGACCATAACTCAATGCTGTAAAATATAAATTATAAATGAGTATTTCAAAAGAATTTTGAAGCAACCGCTCGTCGTGCGTGAAAATAATGAAATGACCTAACTCATAATTACGTCATTTAGCTTCACGTACAATGTATGTAAATTGGAGCGAGCTTCAAACATTTTTGCTTTTTTCAATAAGAAAAATAAATTTTTTGCTCGAAAAATGTTTATTCTCAGAAATTAATTTTGTTTTATTCTCTTCACCTGATATGTTGTTTTTCCGGATGAATGGAAGTTGATTGAAGCTTAGCAGCTATTATGGCTAAGGAAGCTATCAAGCAAACGCATGATAATACCAATTGAACTAAAAGACATGTCCAAGCCAGTGATGTCGATGAAACCATCCTGAAACATTGCTCGTCAAAAAGGAAACAACTAATTGGCTTTATTTATTTTTGTTTTGCGTTCGAGTTTATCGATATGTGCTTACTCTCTCTCTCTCTCTCTATAGACATGTATACGTGTATACGTGTGTGTGTGTGTGTGTATGTATGAGAGACAAAAAAGAGAGCTTCATTGGCTACAACTCTTAAATTGTTTATGAAATCTGAAGAGAATGTTGAAAAACGACAAAAATTAATGAAAATGTACTTGTTGGCCAAATGGCAAAACATGTTATCTTTTTCGTTTTATCTATATGTATTTTAAAATATTAGTTAAAGATTCAAACAAACATACAATTTAAAATGGTACATTTTCAAGTAAAACCTTGAGTGAGATATAGAGAGAGGTAGAGAGAGGTAGAGAGAGAAACAGAAAGAAAGAGAGAGAGAAAGAGTGAACGCAAAGAAGTTTTGTCTGTCTGTCCCTCTAGGTCACAATCTTTGAAAATTAAATAAAAAAATGAAAAAGGAGTGATGCTCCATGAAATTCTTGACAAATACGTCAACGAAAGCAACGATTTCCAAGCAAATTTCCGTGAAGAGAGAGAGAGAGAGAGAGGGGGGAGATCCTCTAACTCTTCTTTCTGTCGGTGTCAGTCATATGCTTTGACAGTCTCTCACTTCATGTGCTATCTGGGTTTATGTTCAACTTTTGAACGAACTTGAAGAAGGGATAAGAAGAATAAATGTTTACACAAATACATTAAAAAACAAATGTAATTGTACTTTCAACTGAATTCTCGCTCTGCACCACTCTTCTCTTCTCCTACTGTTTCCATTGAATGTGTGTATGTGAGTGTGTGTGCATGTGTGTGCATGTGCAACAACGGCGAACGAGAAGAGAAAAGAGAGAGAGAGAGAAAGGAAAAAAAAAAAGATTCTTTCCTATTTGGTTTTTAATACTTGAACTATCCAGGCAGAAGCTAAGTGAAAATAGAAATAAATTCTTCATTAGATTGGAGGAAAAAACAGATTTTATGCGAAATTGTTAAATGAAAATGATAAAACAAGGAAGTTCGTAGCTGCCGTTTTGGGACGTTTTCTTTAAAAAATTCATTTTTTCCTTCCCGTCATCCTCTCCCTCTCTCTCTATCTCTCTCTCTCTTTCCCATTTACCCTCTCTGTTTAAAGCCAACGAAAATAATAATTTTGTTAAACAATATTCATGACAGACAAGTCATGTCAGGTGAAAGGAAAGAGAACTCTTTTTGTTCTTCCAAGAAATACCCAATGGACATCTTCTCGCTCTCTGTGTTTCGCGCGCTTTCTATTGAAGGTAGACCAGAGATCGAAGATAAGCTCAAGGTATAAACACTTTCGTGTAAATATTAAAATAACAAAATAAAATATTTAATTTCTTGATTTCTACTCTCGGCATTTGTGCGGAGAGAACTGACTCTCTTTACCTATCTCTCCGTGTTCACATCTCTCTCTCTCTCTTTCTCTCCCTCCCTCTCTGTCTTGCAGAGATGAAGTGAAGAATTAATAAAATTAAAAAAAAAGGAAAAACTAAAAAAAAAATAGAAAATAACGTATGAATAGAAGATTGACAAGAATAGAAAGTAAATGCCAGCGTTTGAAAAAAAAAAAAGAAAAAAGAAGGAAAGGAAATGCTGCCAGAAGAGGGTGGAAGAAGGCTGAATTCCCTCGTTTTTTTGTAGAAAAAAAAGAATTTATTGCCTTTTCAACATGGATTTTAATGTTCAATGGCTTCATTGCCTTATTTGGAGTAGTAATCTCTTCTCTAACTTTACACAAGAGATGAAAGATAGGGAGGAGCTTCAAAAATGAATATGCTTTTCACTCATTTATACCTTATATGCAAATCTGCTTGTCTGCTTTTCTGTCTCATTTGATAGTTTTGAGAATTTTTCCAAGTCAAACTATGAAATTCCATAGGTGTCTGAAGGCTTTCTTACATAGTCAGCATAATTATATTGAACGAGAGATAATTGAATGAAAAAATAATTCAAAATGCATAAAAAACGTTGGAGATGTCAGAGAATGTAAGTGTAGGAAGGGGGAGAGGGGGGGACAGGCTGGGGGTGAAGGAAGATGCCGCTAAAAAACGTGTGCAACGGAAGAATTTACGTAAAGAAGCTCTCGATGTTATATAATACGTGATATGGCACGTGATCAGTTTATTGGAATTCAGAATGTGAAGAACGGTTCATGGTCAGCTCTCTCTCTCTCCCCCCTTCTCACCTTTCCATTATACCCTCTTACTCTCTCACACTCATTCTAGCTCTTTAGATCGATCGTTAAGTCCAGAAGTCTTTCGATAGCTTTTGAAAAGAAATGAAATAGAATAATGAACATTCCTTAAGGAAACACTTCTATTTGAAGCTTTCAAATATCAAAAGAAAAATCTATTTTTCGCGAAATTCAATACCTTTTGCTCATAGTGCCTCGGCGCCTATCATGGAAACGAACTCGTCGATGTGCAGTAGCACTTCGAATAGAAGCTGTTCGAACGATATCTTCAGCTTTGCTTTTCCAGTTGGTTGTCGTGGTAGCTGATTTCATAACATATACGGAAGATTGACGGTCTAGAGCAGTGGTAATAACTGTAGCTGTTGTTGCGACAGAGCTGCTTCTGCTTTCTAAGCTCTTATGATGTTGAAGACGATCAGATGTCGTTGGGCTCGAACTGCTATTACTATTAGACATTTCGTTTACACGTCTTGTTGGCATGTCGTTCGTAAGTAGTACATGCTCGTCTTCACATAGAATAGCAGAAGCTGAAGTAGATGAAGATGAAAAGAACGATGACGATGGCTGTTCTTGTGTCGGCAGTGTCGCAATGACAGCTGACATACAGCAACTGATTATTCTAAGATGTTGCTAGACGACACACGCACAACGTTCTCTCCGAAAGTAGTCGCAGTCGAAGAAGGAGGAGCAGAAAGTAGAAACGACGTTGAACAAGAACAAGAAAATGGAGGAGGAGCATCAAAAGAGAGAAAGCTGCGTTTCGAAGCTGTGAGGGAAGCCATAGAAGGAACTTGTTGTCCTTTGCAATGCTTCCTATGCCTCCAAGTATGTCAATGGCTCTTCCATCTATCCTCATTTCACTCATTACAATCTCCATTCCTCTCATACATATCCTTTACTCTCTCTATGCCACTCTCACTCTTCCTTCTCTTTTTAATTCTTTATTCTTTCATTGAGTTTTGTTCATTTTACCGCTAGAAAGAGAAAAAGGATAATCATAGACCAAAACGACCAAAGTATCAAAACCTGGGAAAAAGGAAGGAAGGCAAAACTTTCTAAATCTCTCTCTCTCTCTCTGTGAATATCATAATGCCCATTATCCATATCCACCCCCCTCTACCTCTACATCTCATTCTCCTCTCTCTCTCTCTCCGTTTGCTTTCAAAATGAATTTTGAACATGAGAAACAGTTTTTTTCGTCTCTCAAACTTCACTTTATTCAGTGAAGTCCTTAGTAAGCATAAGCTTTTCATAACGAAGCTTCTATGCTGTCTTCGAGACAAAACACACGGAAAACGTATGAAATTGGAGATTTTGGAGTTTGTCTTTTACCACTTTCTTCCAACTCCAAGAACATTTGTATTTGAAAGAGCTGACAAACATTTCTCTCCGTTTCGGATTTGTTTTGATTCGAAGGGAAACGAGGATTCTTACTTCTTCCTTCTTCTAAGCTCATGTGTGTGTGTGTATGTGTGTGGATGTGTGGCAGTGTGGCTGTGTGTGTGTGTGTGCGTATGTGAATGTGGATGTGGATGTATGTATCAGTGATTTTTCGAAAAAAATAAAACATTTTCGAGCAAAATAGAAGGAACTGATTCTTGAAGCATGACGTCATGTGTAATTTGATACTACCTAATAAGGCATATTTTAATATAAAAACAATACCTTTGAGAGAGTTTGCATAAACTCTGGTAATGAAGATGAGGAATGCATCTGGGACACTCCCCCTCTATCTCTATTTCTGTCTTCATTCACCAAATAAGGGCTTTTGACGTCTCATTCGCTCACTCACTCACTTCATTCAGATCAAATCCCACCAATTTATAAACAAACAAATCTTTTTCTTGTGAAAATTTAATAAATATTCGCTTTTGTTCAGAAAATTTCTCGGAAATATCTTCATTTGCAGCGAGTAAGTTGGCTGCAAAGAGAACCGGAAAGGGAAAGATGATTGAGGCAGCGGCATAGCATGGATGGATCATTACATCTATGAGATTGATGATTCATGGCTGATATGATCAGTATCACTTAATATGGTGATAGGGGAGGGTGAGGTGAGTGGGTGAGATGAGTTGAGAATACAAAGCAGAAGCTTTCTAACACATGAAAAGCAAGATTTGAAGCTTACGAAGCACTTTGAAGAATAAGAATCACAGTAACAAGAAATAAAAAGTTCTCTTCAATGTTTTTATATTAACACAATGAGAGAGGGCATGTAAGTTTAAAAATATTTTCAAAGTGCGTACATATTGGTCTCTGGAGGAAAGAGCGAAACTACAAATCGTGATAATCAAGAGCGATAGGGAAATGGAGCAATTCATCAGCTTCAAGTCCTTTATACAAGCGAGTTAAGGTGATAAGCGGGTTATCAGTAAGCTACCAGAGATATAAAAAACTAAAAGCAAAGACATTTACTTAATCAATTAATAGGTGGTTCAGTTCTGCTTACAAGAGACACAGAGAGAGAGAAAGAAAGAGAGAGAGAGAGAGGGATAGAAGTAGCAATGAAGGAGGGAGTTGAAGTGAACGAAGACTAATTTTCTTTTCTTCATGCATGCAAATCCTCCCATGTGCACATGATCTCTCTATGTCTTGAGACTAGCAGAGATACATGTTCTCTCTTGTATATAAAACATAATAAAATTAATTAATTAACAAAAATATGTTTTTTTATTCTCTTCCCCCAATTAAAAAAATTCTTTTAATTATTAAATGTAAACAACCGCTTCTTCACGTCATGCATCACAAAATGAAAAAAAAAACAAAAGCAAAGCAGAATTCAAGTTCACGTGAAACGTACGTGAACTACTGAGGGCTTGAAATGCAAATGAGTGTCTTTTGAAATTTGAATAAAAGAATATGGTGGTTAAGAAAGAAAAAAAAGGAAAAAAAAGGAGACAAAGACACACAAATGTTACAATTGGAGGTCAAAAGAACATTGAGAGGGACGAAAAAGATAAATTAGTTGAAATTTCTGTGAAAATGACGAACATCTTGAGTCGTGAGCCTTCTTTTAAAACATTTAATTGATTAGTTCGTAAAATCTCTTTTCATACTTTCTTCAGTTGCATCATCTCTCTCTCTCTCTCTCTGTGTTGTTAGCTTATCGCCCTTCACTCTCTGCCGTACACTAAGAGAGGAAGTTGCCTGTAGTGAACTCAAAAAATGAAATTTTATTTTATTTTCCTATTTGGATGGAAACATTCTTGAAATTCATTATCGCCTAAGGACAAACAGCGTTCAGTTTTGTGAGTCAGTAGCAGGTGGTCAGAAGTTGTCATCAGTGGTTGTATAATGCTTAAGTATGTTATTCGATATTTCAAGTGTATTTGCAGATTATTTTACTTTCTATAAGATGCTATGATTTCTCTTCATCTCCTTTAATCACTTTCTCTCTCATACTCAACTCTTTGTATGGAATTGAGAGTATAAGGAGAGTGAGGGAGAGAGAAAGTGAATGTGTATGTATGGAGATCCAGCAGAGAGAGACTCCATTTCATGGAATAATTAAAATGAAACACACGAAAGATATAGAGGGAGAGAGGGAAGGAGAACATTTGTTTTTTACGTTTTTTTTGTGAACTTTTAACTTAATCTCTGAAATTCAGAAGCGAACTTAGATTATCAGATGTAGCAAGTAGTCTAAGATGTTGGCAATACGAGACATGTTGGTGGTTGCAGCAACAAATCGTTTGTAAGACATTGAAAGTGAGGTTGTAGCTTGATGATGAAATGAAATGCGATAGATAGATAGATAGATAGAGAGAACCAATCAGAACAGATAAAAAAGGATAAATTTAAAGTTGGATTGTCTATGGAGTGCAACAGGGAGGAGAAAGAGAGAGAGAGAGATAGATAGAGTGGTAGAGAAAGAGAGAGAGAGATAGGTAGTAAGAGGGAGTGAGATACTCTGGGAGCCTAATTTGCAAAGAAAATGGAAAGTTTAAGAAAGGAAAAAAAAAGTTTTTGTTCTTCCTTTTGTTTGCAAATGAATGAGGATGGAAATACTTGTGTTTCCAACTGACTAGCAGGTGTGGAGAGAAAGTTGTAAAAGTTTCTCCAGAGAATTTTGATTTGAAAACAGACACATTAAAGTATCAAACAGATTGAGAGAGGCACAGAGGGTGGTAGAGAGAGAGAGAAACAGAGAGAGAGACATCTTAATTAATCTTCCATCCACAATATAAACTATGAGATGAGAAAGAGAATGTTGTTTGGCTGTCTTCACATGAAGATGAAGCCTATTGTATTTTCTCAGATATTTTTCTGGGCAACATCTTCGTAAAAGGTCTTTCACAAGTTCACAATAGCAAACTCAAATCACAAACCGGAGATCAGTCAGTCCGAAACCCTCAAGGGAGAAATCGCAAATGACTAGTTGCTGTACAGAAAGAAATTTTTTTATATACATATATACTCAGAGAGAGAGACATGGAGCCCTAGAGAGAAAGGGCTCACAGAGACTAAGAAGTGAAATATACATAAAGAGAGTGAGAGGGAGAAAGATAGAGAGAGCGAATGAAGGGTTAGAGGGATATATGGCATTTATGGTCTGCAGTCGACAACTTACTTCAAAAGGCTCAAAACTAAAAAGAGAAGTAAATGGAATGAGAAATGAAGAAGGAAGAAAGGAACTTATGAATTTTTGACCAAAATTGGTTGAAAACCGGCTAACACGTGTGTACTTTCTCATGACTGAAGATCTCTTAAGAATATTCTGTCTCTCTCTCTCTCAGTCTCTCTCTCTCTATTCTCTTAGTAATATACTCTCTATCATGTAAACTTTAAAAAGGAATTTCTTAAAATGACAACCAATTGCACATCTGAACTTTCCTAACTCTCCTTACGAACATAGAGAGAGAGAGAGACTAAGAGAGAGAGAGAGATTTCACTTTCTTTAATGAAAAGAGATGAAGCTGAATGAATTCAAGGAAATGATCTTAAAAAAGTCCTTTAGTTATTTAAATTTCAAACAAAAAGTCAATCTATTAATTAAATTTTTCCATTTTTGAACATTCATAAGAAGGGAGAAGCACAAAAGAAGTTTTCATTTCCCCATTCATCTTATATACTCTATCCCTCTCTCTCTATGTATCTCTCTCTCTACTTGACACCCTTTTCTAGATATGACTCTCTCTCATACTCTCTGTGGGTATATCTCTATCATAGAAGCTGTAGAAAAGGAAAGCTCTTTCGGCTCAGTTCATCAATGTCTTGTGAAGCATAAAATAATTTTTCACACATATAGAGAGAGAAAGCTATCTATAGAGAGAGAGAGAGAAGGAGAAGGAAGGGTTTTTGATGAAAAGTTGCAGCTAATTGGAATATCAAGGGCAATTAAAAAGAATTTTGAGGATAATTAATGAGGTAATTAATATTTCACGTACAAATGCAAATGAAGGTGTAATCGATAATACAGAAGGGGAATGACTGAATGGCGGAATGTTATGAGAGCGCTGAGAGTTGAGGAAAGGAAAACCAAGACAGGAGAGAAGGGGGGGGGGTTGAAGGAAGGGGAGGTAGAAAAGGAAGAACATCTGTTGATGCTTTGTGACGGAGGAGGAGAAAGAAAAGAAATGATTAGTAATGAAGCCTCCGAAGAAGGCAAAGATTACCTTTTGGAGATCAGGGCTTAATCTTAGAATAACATTTTCCATATGGAAACAAACAGGCAGCCATAAGCTAACCGAATGTGAGAACTAGGTAAGAAAAGCTGGGGTAAGAAGCTGAATTGAATAAAGTGCGATAGAAAAGAACAAATATTGTAAAGAGGCTTTTCTATTGACACATCAGTTCCTGATGACAATCACTAAGAGCACAGCGTTTCCTTCTGTATGTGCTGTGCCAGAGCACAATAACTTTGTAATTATTTTTGATTTTCTTCTTTTTTTTTCTCTTTTTTTTTTTGCAAAAAGTTTTTTCCTCTAAAAAAGGATCTTTCCCTCCCTCTCCCTCTCTCTCTCCGTCTTTCAGTCGAACTTGTATTATCTATGAGAGACTCTATGTTGAGCATACTGTCTGTGACTAGTTGGTGCATGAGTGTCTTACCTGCTCTCTCACATGTACCTATTCATTAATTCAATCTATCGTCCTCTTACCCCATCGGTTACTTCAAAGACAAGCCAGCTTTCCTTTACTTTTTTCTTATTTTTTCTCTTTTTTTTCCATCTTCTTACCAACATAGAAATCCTTTTATAACTTGTACTTGTTGCAGGCATAAATCAGAATTTGCACGAAAACTTCTTCATGACAATGTTCAAGTTGATGTTTTCATTCTCTCTCTCTCTCTCTCCCTCTCTCTCTATCTCTTCAAAATAACTTTTTTGTGGCCATTTCTGTGAAACTGGTTTTTCTCTCAAGAATTATCTTAAGAAGTCATAAGTGTGAGATATAATGGTTTATAGAGAGAGAGCTAGACAATGAATGTTTTTTTGTGTTCAAAAATGATTTTCAAAGAGAAATTGAAATGCTTCAGCTAGCTCACACTCCACCTCTCTCTCTTACCTCAATCTCATACTCTCTCTCTCTCCCTCTCTCTCTCTCTGTCTCACTTAACCATAAAAAACGACATTTTGTTGTAATTTTAGAAAGAAAAATATAAAAATTTTATTAATTTTTCGAAAAATGCAAAGAGAGTGGGCAAGAGGAAAGAAACATTTCTGTATTTGGAAGTCCTCAAAATATGAAAATAAACTAACTTTCGATGCGGAAAATCCGAAACACGCCGTTTCCGGCCCATATGGGCATCCGGGATAGTGAGAAGTGCAGAGGATGGCATATCTTCTTCTGAATTAGAAGGAAATAATTAAATAATTGAAGAATTATAGGCAATTCATAGAATAACATTAAATATAAATCATATCATATCGTTTATTCTAATTGTTTATGCAAATTAAAGATTTTCGAAAATACGGTCTCGGAACGATACGTATTGAGGTGGGTTGATAGATACACATACAGCAACGTCACGGGACCGTGAAACGGACGTGGGATGGAGGGTGCTTTGCGTATGCAAATGAGATGCAATCATACGTGGATAACACGTAATCATTGCTAGTCAGACGGACGCACTGAGCGGTTGATTGAAATAAATAAAAAGGATTAGGTAAGCTTCCTCTTCTTCATCTTCTTCTTCTTATTTTCTTTTTCTATCTCAAAAACAACCGGAAAAAAAAGGAAAAAAGAACGCTTCTAAGCTTTTCATCTCAGATTCTGTAGTGAGAGGAGAGTATAGAGTTATAAGCTCAGAGAGATGTTTATGATGTAACAAGACGCGGAGACAGTTCTTAATATGTTATTTGGAAAAGAAATTACAATTTGACAAGTTGCTGACGGAAAGGCTCGGGTGATTTACATGCCCGCAAAGGACATTTCAAAACATATTTCAGCTTGTTTGAGAGTCATACATCTGTTATGGAAAAGTAAGTAAGATGTGTGTCGGTAGTAGTAGTAGTAGTAGTAGAAGAACGATAGAGAGAGAAGAAGAAGAAAAAACTTTTCTTTAATTCTTCTTTCTCTTCAGAGGGAAGAATGAGGGAGGGAGGGAAGGAGGGAGGGAGGGAGGGAGGGAGGGAGGGATAGAGGGAGGGAGGTGATGAAGATGAATGAAGAACGAAATATGATCGACGACAAGCAACAAGGCGAGAAAAGGCGAATAAGAAACAAAAAAAAGGAAAAAAACATGCAAATCTCCTCAAAACTCTTTTTCTTTTTGCAACTAATTGTTAGAAATAAAAAATAATTTTTATTTATAATTATATTTTGTATTGAATTAATGAAATTCAAGAAAGGAAATGGATATGTTTTGACTGAGAATTGGAAATTGAGGAGAGGTGTACCTACTCGTCCCCCTCACTCTCCTTCTCTTTCTCTCTCAACACCTCTAGATCTCTTTCTCTCTCTCTTTATATTCATCTCTCTCTCTCTATCTCCCTCTAAACTCATTTCCGGAGCTATTCTTTCTTCATCTTACTTTTGCTAAACTCGTCCAGCAGTAAATGTGTTGGAAAAAATTTTCTTTTTCCTCTTTTTTTTTGTTGAAGAAAACAGAAGGAGAAGAGAGTGAGAGGTAGAGTCTCGGATGGCCTGAGGCTATATTTCTCGTTTACTACTTTCTGCAGTGAACAAGCTTATTCCATAAGAGGTTGATGATAAGGCTGTTTATGAATGCTACTTGGCTATAGGTTATATGAAGGGTGACAATGAATGGAAAGCAGACGACAATAGCAATGCAACACGTCAATGATGTCATCATCATAAGTTTGTTGCGAAAATTGAAAAAAAGCCGTTGGAGAATTGGATAATCATCTTCTTCTTCTTCCACCATTATGAAAAGCTGAAACATGGGCATGTGGATGGATAAGACGTACGAGAGTTTCTCTCGGGAGCCTTCGTCTCTTCTAAATGAAATGAAGTTTTTTCGACAAACTCTTCAAAAAAACCACAAAGCTCTACCGATAGTGTGTAGATGAAAAAAGAAGAGAAAAAAAGTTTTACAGCAAAACATACGAGGGATTCTTATATAAGAGGGAGAGTGAGAGAGAGAATGAAAGAAGGTTTAGAGATGAGAGGAGAAAATCCGAATACAACAGTTTGTTCCAAATTCTTTGTTTTTGGTCATCACTCAGGCATCTAAGCATGCCTGAGGGTATATAGGTAAGACGACAAGCTTCTTCTCCAACTCTCCCTTGTTACCTAAAGAGAGAGAGAGAGACAGAGAGAGAGAGAGAGAACTAAAGCAGATTTTTTCGTTCAAAATACGATAACGTCAATTGTTTGCTGGGATGAATGAAGTAATTAATTAGTAAAATTGTATTATTTTTTTCAAAAATCTCAAAAGATTTCATTCAATTCGTATCTCATAGTCGGTGAATGAGTAGGAGAGTAGAAGGGAGAGAGATAAGCGAATACGAAAGCTTGAAGATGAAGCATCAGCAGCAGCAACATCAGCAGCAGCAACAGAAGATGAAGAAGATGAAAGAGTAAGAGATGAGAACTAAACAGCTCTTCAAATGGTATTTTCGAATGAAAAAAAATATAAAAAAAGAATATATTTTAATATATAAACTGAATACACATGCACGCATACACGTACACAGACACGTACATACACACACGCACGCACACACAGACACACACACACACACACATTGTGGGGCATAATTGATGAAGCAAAAAAGGAGAGAAGACGATGTTGCCTACGCGGAAATTCTGATTGTCGCTTGTTCTTTTTGCATCAAATTTTCATGTGGAAAATCTCTCTCTTATATGAACTTTTTATTCGAATTTTTGCTCTTTTGGACTAAATCTGCATATTTGGAAGAGCAGTCTTTCGCTTTTATATTCAATCTCTCTCTCTGTACATCATACTATCTCTTTGGCTTTTGAGCTTTTTCTTCAAAGCTTTAGAAGATCGACCCATGTTCCTGCCAATTTACTAAAATGGGAACAATCACATCAAAGGAACTCTCTCTAACACTCTCTTTCTCTCTTATTCATTCATATTCAAAAGGTAACCAATCAATATACTAACGAGTTTGTCTATTTAAAGAATTTACTTCGTTTTTTGTGTGAAGAGTGACAAAACCATTCGCTCAGAACGATTATGAGCCAATGAATTTCGAAAAAATATTTTCTCATTGGAGCGAGGTTGTTTTCAATTTTACAAAACTTACTTGTCTAGTTGAAACACACACACACACACGCATACACACAACACATACGCATATACAAAACCTTTTTTGGAATTGTTGAAGAAGAGGAAGCTTCAGCTTGAAAAGGAGACGACAACGACGAATGCTTTAAACGTTCGAAAATACAAATTTCTTTATTAAGAATTTCATGAGAGACGAAAATAAACTCGAATTACATGTTGACCCGTGTACATGTTAGGCTTTACAAGGAGGAGAGGTCGCATTCAAACATACAATATTCAAATTGACTATGATATAGAAGATAATACAGTAATGCTTCTTCCTTTTTTGGCAGTAAAGGCTATAAAACATGGATTGAGCTGCGAAAGAGTTGATGATGTAAGATGGGAGAAGAAGAAGAAGGGACTGAATGGCAGTTCGTTTCGAAGAAATGTTGAAAATCAAAAAATCTTCTTATGCGCAACAGAGCGGGTTTGGAAAGTCAGGAAAGGAAAGGGATGGAGCGAGATGAAGGGAGGGAGGGAAGTAGAGAGTTAGGTCTCCAGAGATAAAAAAATAGAACAAAATAAAGAGATAGAGAGGAGATAAAGGAATATATTCATTGAATGAACTTTATTCCAAATAAATATCTTCTGTTGGATGGGCAAATGCCATGTACTCGTCGTAGGAACGTTTAAAGGCTCGTCTGCAAGAGAGAACGTTGAACTCAGAAACAAACAACAACTTGAACAAACCCAATTGACTCAACAATAGGTTGAGTTGAGATATTAGACATGAAGACATGGCAAGCAAAACGAGGAAGTAATGGATGTTTCGTAATAAAACCAAAATATCTTTAAATAGTCATGTACAATAACAGTTTTGATGTCATTTGCACTTACTTTAACTGCTTCGGATGTGCTCCACAGAAGCTGATGTTCTGAAGGCTGTAGAAGAAGTCGAATGTTGGACATTGGAAGAACTGCAACAACGTTTAAAGTTTATTCTCTTCCAAGTTTTATATGCAAATTTACATTCTTCTTTCGTTTGTCAATGACATGGATGCCTCGAAATGAAATTTCCATTAACACCGTCTGTGGCACAATGACTTCTTCGCGGTTTTTGTACAACGAGAGAACCTTTAAGTAAGTATAGTTAGTGAGTGTGAGGGAGGGAGTGTGAGGGAGGGAATGAATGAATAGAGAGAGAAAAAGAGAGTGAATGTAATTAATGGGAACATACTTTGTTCATCGCTTGCGTCAGAACGTCATTTCCTTTGTGATGAGCTACTTCTATAGAAGCTAGCATGGTCAGATAGAATGTATCACGATCAGAGTTTAAAACTTCTGAAAAAGAAAGGAAAAGCTTTTAATTATCATATGATGTTTATAATACTGTTGGTATTAGTTGGCAAAGCTCCTAAACAAATTTCTTCGACTAAATCAATTTCACAGACGACAGCCGATGGAAAGATGCCCGATTGATTGGTTCGAAGATTGGTTCCTTCAAAATAGACAATTGATGAGATGAGTAAGTTAAGTTGCAAATTCACCATAACACCAATGATCTTCACACGTTCGCTCCACATGCACAGCATCACCAATATCTAGTAAAAGCTCATCGTGATGTCTGAAAAATAATATTTGAGCTCTCATCGTTCTTGTTTTGCATTTCACAAACCTTGGAATGAAAGACGATTGAACCCTATGAGTTGGATTTATGCTGTCAGATGTCGTGCAGGAGGAAACACCTGATGAATCATCCGGAGAGAAGAAAGCTTAAAACATATGTATGACCATTGACATATAAGGAATAAGAACTACTTACATTTACGTTGTCGACGATAGATAGATGAATTTCCATTGATGCTATCATCCTCATAATAGGAATCTTCAAATGTACTACGTGCTAAGACTGAATCTGTCATTCCTGCAAACAATATTCTTTCTCACAACATCCTTCTATAGTCAAATTACCATCAATAAAGCATAATGTGTGGTCATTCTTGACTACAGCTGCGGCTGCTGCTGCTGCTTGAGGAACGCTCATGGCTCCAAATCGACTGAAGTACGGTTGATCCAAAGGTAGTGCTGGCAAACGTCGTCCAGTCGAATGTGGTGATGGAAGTACTGAAATATTGTAATTATATTAACTATATATATAAATTAAGGTTAACTAATACAATTCATTCATTCAATTTTATGTCAAAACCCTTAATTTATTCTAATTTAACGAGCAGATGCGTGAAATTCACGTGAACCCCTTTACGTGACGTCATTTGAATGAAACAAATGGCGTATAAGCGGTTGCGTTAACGAAGAGACGAAGAAGAAGAAAAAAAAAGAAATATGGTCGTTTTCATAATATTCTTTGTGAATGTATGGAAGAGATGACAGAACGAAACTCATGTTTATGCTCTGAGGCTTGTCTAAGCATCTCATCTTTCGCTATGAAAGCCTTCTTGTGAGCAAAAAAAAAACAAAAGAGAAGAGAATTCTCGAAAATGTTGGTTAAATGGTCTCAAGGATTGTTCTCTTCTTCAATCGTCTCTCCTTTCATGACGTCAAACATTAAAAGTAAAATCTTTTTTATTTTATTTTTGTATTAGCGAGTCGACTTCAACGAGAGCAACGACGACTGAGGCAAAGAGAGCGAATGCGTGTGTATGGGTATGTGTATGAGCATGTGTGTGTGTGTGTGTGCACGAATTCGAAAAAAAAGACGTTGAGAGAGAGAGAAACAAAATGAATATTTTTGGTTTCAATTAGTATGTGACAATGCCTTAACTCTCCTCCTCCTTTCGCTTTTTTTGTGATCAAAAAAATGAATGGGAGGGAAAGGAGTGTAGGAGATTGAAGTTCTGTTTCGATCCAGAAATGGCGAGCGAACTTGCATTGATCTCACATTCAGTTCACTCGTCCTCTTAGAGTTCGATCATGGAAATGTCGTCGAAGAACGAAAAAACGACAAAAGGAAATGATAATCAGAAATTCAAAGATGACATTTGGCTGTTCATCGTGGACAACACATTCACCTAACTATATGAATATAATTAGGGCATATATAATATATTTTGAAAATACAAAAAGCATCTTATCGACCTTAAATGGTGGTCGCAGCGACGAGACGAGAATCAATAGCCGCCTTAGATTCAGAGAGACAACGTCGATGAGACAGAGAAGCAGAGGGTGATGAGCACATGGAAGACAACACTCTCTCTCTCTCTTTGAGTTCTCTTTCTCTGATTCTCTTTAATTTATGGTGTATTTTACATTGAAGCGTTGTCATGTCTTTCCCTCATTTGAGTATTCTGGAGAACGGCTTATACATATAAGGACGATTGTCCAATATTCTCTCAAATCTAATAATAATAAAGAGAATGAATGAAAGAGAGGGAGGGAAAGAGAGAGAGAGAGATAACGATGTATATAGAGAGGAGGAAGGAAATAGAGAGAGAAGGCGACAGATTGAGAGAGATAAAAGAACATCTCAAGAGTTTGTAACAAAATATTTGCAAAAGTTGTGATTTTAGGGGGAAAAGCCTTATTCCCTTGTGACATTCATTGTTATCCGAAAAAAACAAGAACTGGCTGTTGAAGAAATAAAAAATCAAATTAACTCAAAAGGTTAGTTAGTTGAGAGGGAGAGAGAGGTAGAGAGAGAGAGAGAAGAAAAAGTTGTTTTAATGAGAGAAAGGAGTCATTACAACTCCAATTGGGGGCTCATTGAGCTGCTATCAGACATAAGCGATAGGAATAGATCGATCATTCGAAATGAACGATATTCTTTTAGTCAACGACATCACGAGGGAAAATGGTGGGTGGGTTGAGAGGGAGACAGTATGTAGAGAGAGAGAGGAAGTATGAAATGTATACAAGAGAGTGTAAGAGAGAGAGAGAGAGTATGAAGGAGGGACAGAAATGGAGAGAAAGAGAGATCAATAGCTCTTTTCTTCATATTTGTGCTTGGGGCAATCCATATATTGCTTTAGCCCAAGCATAAGCTTGAGATTTTAATTCAATCTTCTCACATATTTTACTAGCTAATTAGCATAAAATAAGATTGTACTCAATGCATTATTTACTAAAAAAAATAAAAAAAATAAAATATAATTAGCTTACAGTGTTTTGGTGGAGACATTGGAGTAGCAATTTCCTGATATGTTTGTCGAGCCGAGCTGAAATGAACATATTTTATAGTTAAAATGATTGTTGAAGCTGAGATCAGAATAAATGAGGAGGAGGAAAAAAATATTTTTTTTCTCTCTTCTTACTTCACTGCTTCAATCGCAATCTCCATCTATGGCTATATCAGCTTACCTACCAAGATCAGATTTCATAGATGATTTATAAGGAATTAGTTAGCACAAGAGGGGCATAGGAGAGGAGAAACTTTTTCAAAAACGTTTCTCAACTATGTTCTCCATGCAAATGAAAAGCAGAAACTGAGTATTGTTGAGTGTTAGCCGGCAAACAGCCTGAGGGTGGGTAGTAAAGAGAAAAAAGCTAAACAGAGAAGAAAGAATGATAGAGAGAGAGATAGAGAGAGGGAGGGAGATAGATAAAGAGGGAGAGAGAAGAAGAATAGAAAGTATTTGCAAGAGAAGGGGTAAAATGAAAAAAAGGAAGCTGAAGATACAACCAATTACGGAAGATAGGGAAGAGCGGTGTAACTGACTGGAGGAGGAAACACCAACAGCATGGAAGATACTGCGAGAGAGAGAGGAAGAGAATAGCTGTCTAGGAAAGGAAAGGCACAATAAAATTGAAGAAAATGAGAAAAAATGAAGTTTCTGTTAGCTTCTACGGGTCATCTTAGTTAAGAGAGAGAGAGAGAATGAGGAAACAATGGAGAAGACAAGGTACATGGTCTTTGAGTGTATGAAAGCCACCATAGATTAGAATGCAACCGTTCAGTGTGATAGGATCACAGTGATCATTGATAAGTTAAGAAAAAGAGAAAATGAAATTACTTTTGTTTGCTGGCATATTGATATGACGGAGATGTGGGTGTTTGTCCTGGATAATAAGCTGGACCAGGCTCTCCAATAGATAGAGTAGATGGAGGTCGAGGCTTCGTAACCATTTGATTCGTACTGCAATCGAAACTATAGATGAGCATTCGGAAAGACGCAAAAGGAATGTAAAAAAGTCATAAAGAAAACTTTTTTTTTGTTTCAAAACTTTAGGTCTCTAAAATAATCATGAATAATATAGAAGAAGCTCAAGACTTCATTTGAAATTTAGGAATTCGTTCATTTCGTTTCTCAACAGCCACTGTTACGTATGTGAAGTTGATGAAACTGTGTCGATTTGACATGTTTTTGGATAAAAATAAATGATAAATGGATAATTTAATAAAAAAAGAGAGAAGAGAAGAGGATGAGAGAGTAAGAGAGTAGAAGAGAGAGAGAGTTGTAAACATACGATAGAATAACAGATTCTGAATCCTTATTTAGATGTTGAATTGAAGAACGTAGTGATTGACTGCCTCCATAACGCTCTTCATATAAACATTTGTCGTACATAGACATTGAGTATGGCATATCTCCTGAAAGTTGAATGAATGATTGCATTTCATATTTCATCTATTCATCTATACCTCCAACATCATCTGGACGACGAGGCAGACGACGACGTGGTCGTTTAAATTCATCTGTTGTGCAACTTCGTCGTATTGAATGAGATGAGCAATCACCAGTTGCAGATAACTGAACTAAGCTTCCTCGTTCCAGCCATGCTGAACGACGATCCAACTCACATCTATGAACAGTGGAGAGAGTATAGATTGAAAGAGTTCGATACATACCTCTCTGATTCGCTTAACATATGAATTGAGCTGTTGGTTGATGAAGAATTGTTTTTGATCATCTTGTCAGTTGTTTGACGCATAAAGGAAGGTTCGAAGACATTTTGGATTTGAGAATGAGCAGACAATGAGTTCGGCAGAGGAGTTGAACGACGAACTGGTCGAAACTGTAATAAAAGGAAGTTTTTGTTTTCAAAGCTCATTTCCACAATGATGACATACTTGAACAGAAACCGATCGCGGCATATCGTTATCGACCCAACTATTTCGAAATGAATGAGCGAATACTCGGTCTTCTGGCCAAACCTGAAAATACCCGTCATCAGCTTAGAAAATAGAAAAAAGAAAGCTTCGTCACAACTCATGATATAAGCTGAGTACAAACTTTTCGATGATGATTATGAAAAGCTGACCTCTTGTTCAGGCCAAGGATCTTTTTGAGGCCAACAAGTGTCTTCTTCTTCTTCCTCATCCATATCCTCATCCTCATCCATATCTTCGTCGGAAGTGGCTGACAAGTTGTTATACAAGAGTTCTTCCAGGTGCGGTCTTGGTCGCAATTGAAGTGAACGCGAAGTTGTCATCCTTGTACCTGTAAAGCAATGAATAGAGAGAACGAAGAAAATGCGAACTAAGACGAGAAAGGGAGGAGTATCACAATGACTATGCGAAGAAGCTACTTGTAAGCTGTCGTATGGGGTTAATGCCAGTTGAGTGGCAAGTTGATCCCTCAGGGCATAAAGTTAAAGACAAAACCTCCATCACTTGTAGATTTGAAATATAAAAGAGAAATGGGAAAAAATTAATTTTTTTGTTCATCCAAACCAAAGTTCAAAAGCTATCGCGATGAAGTACGACCGAGTCATAACATCTTGAACATCTAAAGTGTGATATACGTGGAATGACGTATTCACGTAAATGACGTTTCCACGTGAAAATCACATAAGAAGCGTCAAATGAAAGAGTCAGATTGAGCTAATTACTAATCGGAAACAAAGAATGAAAAGGAAAAATGATTTTTGTTATTCCGAATGGCAAACTGTATGGAAAATCTGAGAAAATATGAAATTCGTTAGTGATTTTCATGCGAAATCAGTTTTTTCTTGTTGATGGAATGTTAATTAGAGGATTTTAGTACGAGAACTAGTCTGTTGTTCATTCTCTCTCTCTATCTTTCTCTCTCTCTATCTCTCTCTGTTAAACTCTCTTCCTAGTCTTCTACATGGCTGTATGACTGATAGCATTGGAGCTTCAAATAAGACATTTGTCTCGAAAATAATTAAAAAGCTTTTCCTTTTCAAGCCATCAGATGTTTTATGAAAAAAAAAGAAAATTTGAAACAAAGAAGAGAAGAGGATGAGAGAAGCTGATGACTGACCTGGTTTGCCAAGAACGGGTGAGAGTGGTCGTGGTGGCGATGGGGACGGAACTGAGCCTGAGCTGGACGGCAAACGAATAGAACAAAGTGAAGACACTAGAACAATTCCTTTTATTTTTAAATTATAAAAGAGAATAAAATAATTGAATTTAGAAAATACTTTGTTTCATCTGAAAATGGGCGGGATTATCTCCCATTTCATCTAACTTCTCCGATTACCTTAGGAACAAGCATTTTTCGACTTTCATCCATTAAGATCGATGAAAACAAAATGTCCTTTCTCTTCTCTCCTATTCTTCTTCAATTCCCTCGCATGACCTCTCTCTCTCCCTCTCTCTCCCTCTCTCTCTCAGATATAAAACCTTTCAAGCTAAATTAGCAAACTAAAAGTGACATAAAATCAACAAACACATTAACACATTTCCATCAAATGTGCCAGTGATGCCTGAATGAAAGAGCTTTTCAGCCATTTTTGTTTCGAAACTTTTCGTAAAATGAAATTGTAATTGTACGTGAGATGTGATGTGTTCACGTGAAAACGATGCTCAACCGACAAACAGTTGGATGTGTCAGCACTAACAAGCGGTTGCGTTTTAGGGTTTAGAGAGGTGAGAGTAATGGGAAGGAATCAGTAATCTAGTGGGCTGGGAGGATTACTGATGGAGAAAAACGTTGAGAAGATTAAGATTTCTGATATTTGAACTGGCATTGTCCTTTCAATTGGGTTACGGAGTAAGTTAGCTTAGAAGATTCTCAGATTTGGAACATTGTTTTCAGTTTGAAGGAAAGAAGTAAATAGCTTACCCGGCTCTGGAGTATCAATGATGGGGTAACTGGTAGAGAAAAGGAGATGAGGTTGAAGAGGATCTAAGTTCTCATCTTGTTCATAAATGGAACTTTCTTCAACAACTTGCACAACAACTGGTGTCTTCTCTTGCTCATCTACTTCAACCTCATCGTTTTTCCTATTTCTTTCTATTTCTTCATTTTCCTCCTTCTTTCCAGCATCTACATCATCATCATGTTCTTCTTCTTCCTTCTCTACCCCATCATCATCATCATCCTCATCATCATCATCATCATCCTCGAAATCGGAATTATCATTATGTCCATGCTCTGGAGCAGACCAACTACTTAAGCGATCTTCATTAACTGCGAAAAAATATTATTGAAAAACAAAGAAGCTTTTAAGGACTAACTTGAATCATATGAAGCTACTGAATTCGAATCATCCATAACAAAATTCGGAGGAGATGACCAACAACCAGATGATTTGAATGTCTGAACACGAAAAGCTACCGCAAATGGCTTTGTTAAAGACATTTTTTGTTATTTTACTTTGCTTTCTATTTTTTTCTTGTTGCTATCAAAACTGGAGAAGTAATAGGAAAAGGCAAAGAAAAACAAACTTCAGGAGGTCTTTCTTTGACTTCCATTGAGATATCTTCAGGTTCCGGCCATTTCTCATCCAGTCGACTAGCGGCACAATTGACAACGGGAGCTTCTCTCTGGTTTAGGATGCTCTCATTCGTTGACGCCCACATCTTCGATAAATTCAACTGAAATTAGCAAATTTTGAGAGAATTTCAATTAAAAGACCATAATGGAAGAAAAAAACGGACAAAGAAACAAGAAAAGCTGAGAGATGAAGTACTATCAGTGCTCACTGCTCACTTACCTCAAATGTCGTCTTGCTAGCCTTCATGTTGGATTTATGACAAATCGGCACAGTATAAGCCGATTTACTTTTGATGAGACTTCTCAGAATTGGATGAACAGCGAATTCGGCATCACTAAATGAGGAAAATACGAAATACAGAGCATAACAGCAGATATCACACCTGTCTTCTGATTCGTCGTCATCGTTCTCATCATCATCATCCTCCTCTTCATCATCGTCATCATCATCATCATCATCATTACCGTGATGATGTACATCTGAAGATTTCAAAATACTATGACCCCATGGACTGGACGCTTCCGAGCGAGACTAAAATGGAATTGTTTAAGAAACAACATACGTGTAAGAGGAACCTTAATGAGAGTTAATTCCATTTCCTCATCATCATCCTCATCATCATAATCACGAGAATGAATTGACATTTGATCTGAGCAAGAGAAATTAGGTCAAATCGTCAGTTACTTATGATGTTTTGAAAGAAAAAACAAGAAAAGGCGAGAACTGAAGGAAGAGAGAGAGAGAAGAGACACAGAGAGAGGGAGAAAGGAGGGAAAAGCTGCAAATCCGAAAGTTCCATAAATAGCTGAAACCAATTTTTTGGAGTAAAAAGAGTAAAAAGTGAGAGAAGTCAATTGAGAGAGTGAGAGAGAGAGAAGTTCTTTTTGAAAAAGAAAAAATTGTTTTAAAATTAGAATAAAAGGAGAGAAGAAGAGGAGGGAGAGAGAGAAAGAGAGAGAAAAGTACAAAAAAAAAAAAGAATTGATGTCAATTGATGGCTCATAAATGAATGCCAATCACGCCAAGTTGAAGTCTGAACGAACGAAAGAATCTATTATGGACAACTAGATGATGAATAAGGAAATTGTCTAAAAAGTATTATTTGCTTGCCATATAAGGTGTTGAAATAATAAAAATGATTTTTTCCTTTTTAAAAGCAAGTAGAAAGGAAGAGGAGAGAGGAAGCCATCCAAGAAGCCTGCCCACGTAAACGGATATGTCGAAAAAAAAGTTTTTTTCTTCTTCTTCTTCTTCTTCTTCTTCTAAAAAAGCACACACACACATAGCCATACACACAACTTTCCACAGGAAATGGAAGCTTAGAAGGAGAATAAGAAGGATTTCTATAATTGGTAATAGACTACTCACATGGAAACGGCATTGTTTAAGCACCCAATCTTTCTCCCTTCTATGTTCTTTTCTCTCTCTCTCTCTCTCTCTCTCTCTGTGTTGATTCTCTCCATACCTATCCTTCTCTCCGTCTACAAAAACATTTGAAAATAAGAAAAGAAAAGGTTTATTAGAATAAAAAGCAAAAAAAATGAAATTCGTACATGAAAATCTTTTGGTTTTTTCGCTTCTGATTATCGACTTGAAAGAAATTAGGAGAGAGAATGCCATCTGCAGTCTTGCATGAACTTATAGAAAAACACGGACACAGAAAGAGAAAGAGATAGAGATGGCCATATATGGATTCACATCTTCATACATGTATAGCTTAATGACCTTTTCATAATTTTCGGCTTCTTTTTTGTTTCTTTTTGTTTTAGGACAACGACTGGCCAAATGTGGTTAACGGAGGAATAAGTACAAAATGGATTTACCCGTATAGCGGTTAACAATTTTTATTTGCCGTTTAGGAAAGAAGCCACAAACGTTCTGAGAATCAATGAAGAAATTGCATCATGCCTGCCCATGTTAGTAGGCTAGCAGAGGGTGGTGTGGGGTGGGGGGGAAGAAGAAGGAAAGGAGAAGCTCTGTTTCTCTCAAATCTGCTTTATCTTTCTTCATTTTATCTACTTGTAGAAGAAAGTGGAAAAGACATGTAGTATGTATTCATGGAGCTCATACGTTCCATCATCTCAAATTTGTCGTCAAAAGTTTCTTCAGCTCTTCTTCTTCTTCTTCTTCGTCGTCGTCGTCTTCATCTTCTTCTTTATGCAAACTCCTCGTAATTAGAAGTTGCCATTTACAGAGCATATAGAGCATTCTTTACTATTAAAAGACGTTCAACAATAGCCAATGTCCTTTCATTGAGATTATAAAAGAAAGCAAATCTTTTATACAAAATAAAGCTTCAGAGAGAGATAGAGAGAGATAGAGAGAGAGATAGAGAGAGTGGGGGGGATAGAGGGAGGATACGATTCATTTCTCAAAATAACAACTGCGTCAGATGGGAAAAGATGTTTTACGGATGAAAAGGTGGAAAATCTATTAATTGTAGAACTAAAATAGAATGCAACCGCTCTCTATGCTTTCCGTTCATGAAATGACAAGTGTCGTTCATCATCACGTAAACCACGTGAAAGCCACGTAAGCACGTGACGAAGTATGCGTGGAGTTGTCTCTCATGGGTGTTTTCACGCATTTCATTTTCATGTCATTGTCTCACAATGATGAAGCCTTAGTGGAGATGTGACATCTCATCCAGCTTACAACTTCATTAGTCATCTCTATCATCACATACAAGCTTATCAATAGGGCCATTTCCATATAAAGTAACTTGTTAGAATAAAGAAAGAAAACAGTTTTCGTCCATTCAAATTACGCAAGCAAATCATTCATGTAATAGAATTTTTTAATTTTTTTTTCTCACTCAACGAATACAACTGAATAATCAATTTTGCATTCAATTTGGAAACAAGTCAACGACAACCTACAACTACATATAGCCTTGTTTCAGCCATATACTTATGCATCAAAGGGAGACAGAGAGAACGAGAAAGAGAGAGAAAGAGTTTGCTAGAAAGAGACAGAGAAGGGAAAACCCCTACATTTATGTCCTAGAGAGACTATTCGTATTCAATTTTAATTAGAGATCTCTCGTTCTCTCTGTATACGCAGTAGAACAAGAGAAAGAGAGAGAGAGAGAGGTCTGTCGGTTATAAAATATATTTTTTATAAAGTCAGTCTTAAACAGTTTGAGAGAGTGATGGGGGGCAAATGAAGAAGAAGAAGCAGAAAATGGCTAAAGCTGCTCCTTCGATTGAAGACTGGAAATGGCAAAAACATTTTTCAGACGTCTTAAAACTTATCAAAACTGAACGATTGTAAGAGATTATACACTTATATGGAAAATCTCTCTTTCTCACTCTTTCTATCTCAATAGATTCAGTATTGGCAGATGATCTAACAACTAGTTAAAGAAGTGAAGAAGAAGAATGTGAAAACAGCTCATTTGAACTACATTTAGATGAAAAATCGTTAACTATGCATGTGAAGCTGAAGAAGATTCTACCACAAAACACTTGTAAAGAAAAAAAATGTCTAAATGGAATTATTTTGATTCAGAGGCCGACTAACGCATACAAGAGAGATGAGATGGCATAGAAGGAAAAAAACGCTGACATGAAGATGTTTGACAGCGATATATGCAAGAGCTTTGCCAGAGTAGTTCAATGGAAGACCAACACACATACAAACGACTCATGGGAAACGATTGGTGGTAAAAAAGACATCAATCACAACTTAAGTTTTAAGCGGAGGAGAGCCATTGAACACTCTTAAACCTTCGACTCATTACCTTAGACGTCATCAACCTCACAAGTACAATGACTACTGTGACTCTATTCACTTTCTTCTATTTTACAAAAAACCTAGACGAAAATGAATTTTGAATGTCATTGACATTGCATGTGTTATAATTGGTTGTATGAAAATTGCGCCATATATGGGAGAGTCAAAATAAAGCTAACAGCTGCTGGTCAGTAATTGAATGAAGTAACAGAAAAAAAATTGAAAAAAACGAAATAGTTTATGGAAGAGTCAGAAAGGCAATTATGAAAGAAAAGTAAAGCAATGTTTTTGCCAACCTCACTTTTCTTCTATTGGCGACCAACATCACAACCAGCCATCGATCCACACGGCCCACACTTGGCTCAAAACCAAACAAGCATTATCAATTTCTATTTGTTCATTATTAAAAGGATTTCCTTTATTATTATATTACCCATCATTTCATATTAAATTAAATAAATATATACATGAATGTAAAAGTACAAAATTATTATTTTTTTGCCCGTTTTCATTAAGTTTCATGGCGTTTCAGACTCGTATTAGGTGACTAGTTGGATTTTGGTTATCAAAACATGTCCAAGAACAGCTTCAGCTTCTTCCACTATTTCTGTTAAATTATTTTTGTTTTTTAACTCGATTTTACATTTCACGGGACCCTGAAAGAGGAAAATGAAATAACGAAATAGTTCAGGCACTAAGGCTTTCACTAAAGAATGCAACCGTTCTGAGCTAAGAACTTGTGAGTGTTGACTCGCTTGAATACTTTGAAGTCTACTAACCTCACAACGTTGCAGATGTGAAAGCATACAACATATAGTGACGCCTTCTTCTTCATGCTCGAATTCTCGCTGATTAGATGTCAATAGCTCCTGCAATCATAATATATTGATTAGTCTAATCCGATCCGTACTAACAGCCGGAAATCTGAGAAAAGCTCTATGATCCAATGCCTTTTGAGACAATCTCCTTTCTACTTGCTCTTCATTCTCCTTTACAATTTCGCCGACAGATGAAAAAACATAAGCCTAGAGAGAGAGAATTGAAGTCTTTGGTGTAAACTTGATTTTTACGAGGTTCGTAAAGTGGCCACAAAATCCCACCCAAATGGTCACTGAAAGCTCATGTTCATAGAAATTGACAGTAACTGGAGTTGGCAGTTCTGAAAGGGAAAAATATGAAAGTTCTGCTGTCACATTCAGTTTGTACCATGCATCAACCTCCAATGTCCTGTATGGTGAGTAAAGGAAATCGTATGTCCAGAGTATACGAGTGGATCGGCTAAACTCCGGGGACGCGTAACCGTTGATCTCAATTCCGGCACTTGATAATCACGAACTTTGCTATCTTCCTCAATATCTGAAGATAACAAGCCTAATTCAAGTTATGGCTGATGGACACTCACCACGCAAGACATGATTCATCATTTCCACAACAGAAATGTTCTTCTTTACATGATTTTTTAAATATTTCATGAAAACGCCATTCACATCACCACGAATCTTGAAACACTTTCTGAGTTTTGATTTATAAGACCACGAAAACCTCATAGGCTCCAATGCCATCACTTGTTGAGAAACCATAGACGGTATTCCTATTGGGCCTTTTCTTATATTTGAATTTATCGGCGTATTGTATGAAAGGACCAACACAATCAATTCTGCAGCGACCGACTGTATTTTTATCAAAATGTTTGGGAACAACTCACGGTATGTATTTCCTGCATACATCCAACAACAATAGATTTAACGATGGATTGAATGGGGCAAACTCCGCCAGGATCCAATCAAGAGAAAGACAATTATCAGGATGATGGGGCTCCTTGGGAGCATCAACGGGCAGCAAATAGCACTGTCCGTTTACTTCGAACCCATGTCCAACAAAATAAAAAACAGCTGAAGCTCGTTCATTTCAAAAGGCTATGAATGTATTCGTACCATAGACCCCTGTTCCCAGAAGTTTTGTGTATTGCCTAACCATCATTTTCATCTCTGACAAAGTCAAATCGGCAAGCGTGACGGTTTTAAACTTGAGCTCCTTCAATAAGAACAACAACCATGTTCAGATCATAGTGAACTAGAACCTGAAGCGCGCCAGCTAGTGTCTCTGCATCACAACGAGGAGTAAGAAGTTCAGGCAACTCCTTGTATACACAATTGGATATTATCAAGGCCACTTTATCAGAAGCAATTAACTTCTCGTCATGTTGACATACAGAGCATTCTAAAGATGTAACGTTATAGGGGTATGGAATGTGTTGAGTAACTCATCGAGTCATCAATGTGCTCTTTGATACTGATAGGATCAGATCGTAGTTCAGATTTGAATTGTTTGTTGCCTTTACGATAGAAACTGGAATAGTCTTCGCCTTCATTCACTTCGTTCATAGCAATACAGCTGAACTCGGCATTGGCATAGCATTGACATCTGAAAATGGGTCACTTATCATATCCTTATGAGACTAGTGAAACCTTCGAACCAATAAAAGATTTGAATTGGCATTTTCCATTTTTTGCATGTCTTTGTACCATTCGAAAACTGGACAAGGGAAACCTACAGCTGCAGATCGTAACGCTATTTCTTTGCCATTATTTACAACAGTAATTTGAACTTCCTCCGGTCGACCCCATTTCAAAGGTTCTAAGATATGTATATGTTTGTATTTGTAATGTTTTGTTTCGTTTTACTGAATTTCCTGCGAAGCAGAAGTTGTGGCGGATCCATTACACTGCCATAATAAGTTGACAATTCCTAAAGTTGTCAAATGAAATCTTTCTTATGATGGTGTAAGCCCATGTCTATCCCTAAACTATGACTACTTGATTCATTGGTTGTGTCCTTTCACGACATGCTCATCTTGCAAGAGGGTGGTCAGGTTTCAAACCTTGCCACTAAAAAGGAGGTTTTAATTATAGAAAGCTAATTATACTAATTAGACATGAAATATTCAAGCTATATGACAAACTTTGATTTTTGTAATTGGTCATTAGTTCTTGACAATTACATGGAGTGGTTGAAGGGGCGTGGCTACTACACAAACCCTTTTTGTGTTACCTGAAGTCTTTGAAAAAGGTCCAAGACTGTAATTCCTCTATTCCCCCATAGTCGTAAAACTGATTGGGCTGGTAAAGGCAATCGTTTTTGTTTTTCTAAGTCCTCTTGGCTAATGTGAACAAGAAATGTGTGTAAGCCAAAGAAAACTGATTGAGATACCTCAAATAGAAATTGCTCCTGTTATCTCCATCAATAATCTTTAACCACAAATCATTAGAAGATAAACATGCGGATAAGGCTGGCGAAACGCTCGAAGGTAAGTCAGCCAAGTTTGTGTTTAAGGAGACCATTCTCTTCTCAAAGAACATTCAGCCGACAAACGGAGGAAGACTTTTGCGTCTCTTTGATGGTGAACTGAAGAGAATTTCTATGAAAAGATGAATGTTGAAGAAGCTCCTAGCATCTCAAACACAAAACAACCACGAAGTACATTATTCTTTCTTGAATATAGAAAGAAGCTTGAGCAAACAGAGATGCTGGCGAAATGCCAAGCTACCGTAACCCACACGAATGCATTCTTGGCTGAGGCTGCTTAGCATTCATACACGGCGTTAGCTGAGTATCAGCCGCGCGCCACACTATAACAGGTCAGAGCGCAGAGAAACACTACGTTAGGGAACACAGGGCGTTCCAAACAATGTACACAACTCGCAGATTCTGCTTTTGCCAGAAAAATCAATTTTCGTCGATCAATCAATATTTTTCAATTTTTCAATTTATCTTAATATAATTGTATGCAATTTGAAGTCTCGGAAATAAGCTATGAAATGATGGCAAATACTGCTTTCGTTAATATTTCAATATTCACGTTATCTAGGCGTTCGACGAAATTTGCTTTCATCGTAAGTCAGCTTAAACGACGATTCGTATGAATCTGCTACGATATGGAATCAACATCCGTAACAGCGTGTAGCACGGTTACATCGATGGGATCGTCTACTGGGTATGTTTTTATTTTTATTTTTGATTCTTATTCACATTTTACTTACACACAAGGTGAGCCGATTCCTTTACACTCATTAGTTTACATTTTCCATTTTATTCTTTTTTCCTTTTCTTTCTCGTCATCACGTCACTTTTAGGGAAAAACCCAGACGTGCTGACTATCTGCAGATAGATCCGTCCAGCACGTTTATTAATAACTCTCGTAATTATGATGATCTCCCGGAAAACTTTCTTGAACAAATAAGTCCTCAACAGTCTTCCGCTCCTGCAACTTCAGTAATGATAAACGATCATTCCTCCAGTCCCCAACTTGCACCCTTAGCTCCAATGAGCATGGCTTCCGAGCAAAGGTAAGTCTCTTCGGTTTCATATTTTTTTTATTTTTCTCTTGTAGTGGTTTCGGGTTAATGGGATTGTCGTCCCAGTATGCAAGTATTGATAAGACGAGGTAACTTTATCACATCAATGTTCAACACTACTTTATTTTTTCTTGAAGTTTTGGTAATGGCCCTGCAGGGCTGTTGTCACCCTTACATATGGACAGTCGGAGAACTCACGCTGGTAGTGACTTCGGTCGATCCGTGTTCATAAAGGTTGCTTACTGTTTGGGTGCATGTACTCAGTGTTGAATTTAAGGAAGAACCAGATACTTTGGACAATTCCCATCATATGATGATGGGCCCACAGATGTCCATACAACAGTCTGATATAGATAGAATGCCACAAGCTGAAACACCTCCCGCTGTTAGCAATGTTGAGTTAGCTAGTACCATGATCGCTAGTTTAATTGGGGAACAGGTAAAGCATGGCAACACGATGCTCAATGAGGTGTTAATTTTTCAGCGGAATTCGTCTCCATCACCTCATAGCTATTCCGGTCCTCCATCTAGTTCGATGCGAATAGGCAACATAAAACATGATGAAGACGCTGTGGAAGGTCAGTTGAATGGGGATGATCGAGATGCTGCATATACTAGACAATCGTATACACCCAAACGTAAGATATTCTAACTTATCAACTCATCTATCCTCCTGTTACAGCAAGAAGAATATATTCTACAAAAGATAGCAACGATCCTTTAAATGCCGAGATTGACGATGATATCTATATCGATACCAAAGAATTATGTAAACGCATAGCTTATGAACTCAAGCAACATTCCATCCCTCAGGCTATTTTTGCCGAGCGTATTCTGTGCAGGTAAGCATGATCATTTGTTCGTTCAACTTTCAGCTTCATTGCAGAAGTCAAGGAACATTATCGGATTTGCTGAGGAACCCTAAACCTTGGAACAAATTGAAGTCTGGTCGTGAAACGTTTCGTCGAATGTTCAACTGGGTTCAGCAGCCCTTATCTATGCGGTTAGGTATTCTGGATATGTACAAAAATGGGAATGGTAAGTGTCATGATTCTTTTCTCATGATTTATGATCGGTTCAGAAAACGAGGATCTTGTGAACGGATTGTCAAAGTCTATGGGCATGACACCACCAACACCAGCTCAGAACGTGAGACACGCGAATAGACGAAGTATGGATGGAGATACTCCCTCTAATAAGCGACCAAGATTAGTATTCACAGATATACAAAAAAGGACACTTCAGGTATGTATACGCTTTCCTCAGCTTCCGCTATTACACTCAATTTCAGGCTATTTTCAAGGAAACTCAGAGGCCATCTCGGGAGATGCAGCAAACGATCGCCGAGCATTTGAGATTAGATCTCTCCACTGTTGCCAATTTCTTTATGAATGCCCGGAGGAGAAGCAGGGCTGGATCTAACCAAGACGAACCTCAACCATATCAGCAGGTATGTTCACCTTTCTATACTTCCCTATATTTCATTTTATCTTTTTTTATTTCATAGTTTACTTTTTGTTCTACTGATAACAGATTTCAGCCTTTTCTTTGATTCAGGTTCATCCAGTTACTCCCCCTCCTGAGTCTCCTCCTCGGACTGCGAATAATCGAAATCGTCGAGTTCCAGCTAGCATGCAGCATGTTGAAGCCACGGTAAGATCATTAACCTCTTTGGGTCGTTACTCTGTCCATTATATATCCAATTATTAGCTGTTTACCGAAATTATTGTTTCAATAAATGTTTCAGGTCACCAGTGTAGCCCAATCAGCTATTCAATATAGCCGAGACGCAGCTGCACAGGATCAGCTTAGGCTTGGGGATGACGATGGGTATGACGATAGTAATAAGGTGAGTCTTTGAGGAAGCCGGCTCTTGAAAATTTATTTCTCCACAGATATACAAAGCAGAAAACGATCCTGCAGGATCAAACCCTATGTACGAAGCAAACCAGGAAGTCCACTGCGAGGTGAGTGTAAGCTATCTCAGCTGTGTTTATTAAACGATTGTAGGCTCCTGTACGGGATACTCCCGTTGTTGATGTAGTTGACCATAGTCGCATCAAACAAGAGGAAGATATTCCTGAAGATAATTTGCCTTAGAACACTGAAGTGCTTCTCATTACCTCACTTATGGGTGCCTTTCCCGCTTCTATCTGTGTTAGTTTCACATTTAGTAGCCCTGCTGTTGGGAAGTTTCGTATAGGAGGATCGTTTCTCTACATGTATACACTCTCTCTATACTTGCCACAAATTGTCAGTTTCCTTGTATCTCTCTATGTGGGTAGGCATTACCTACTCCCTCTCAGAAGAAGGCCAAGTGTCCATACTTGTAGCATTTTGTCTTAAAGCGGTGTATATATTCTAGGTGTGTGCATAAGCTCGTGGCCCACGACCCCCCAAAGTAAGAAATAATATGCTAATTAGAACCTAAGTTTTCAACTTCCAACCTTCTACTATTCCTTTCGCTATGTGGATTCAGAGTAGTGAGTGTTTTAGCCTTGTTGGAAAAAGAGAACTGCCTAAGTGTCTAATTCCGCGTTCATCAGTCATTTTCCATGTTGTATCCGACCTGAGGGATTCCAAACTGCGTTTCTTCTAATACATTCTTGTCTTCTCTGCACTACCCTTTTCTAACTTTTTAACTGTTATGCTTGAAGGGCTTGTCACTTTCCTTTCAATAGCATCCAAAGAAGATTGAAGTCTCTCAAAATTAGAACTTATAAAGTTGAAGAAAGGAAACAATGTTTGACAGCTTTCCACCTTTCCCACCTTCCGTATCATTTCTATTTCTCTCCGGTCTCAGTCTACTTGGGCGTTTTCCTAGCATTTTATGGTTTGGTAATTTCCAGGAAAACCTGTATTCGGACTCCTCTCTCCCCCCCCCCTCTCTCTCTCTCTCTTTCTCTCTCTTTCTTCCTCACTCTCTCCCTCCCTCTCTCTTTCTCCCTCTCTTCTCTTCTCTTCTCTGGACCCCAACGATAAGATGCTTGTGAGATGCCTTCCATATTCTGGGACCCGTTTCTATATTAATTAAGTAATAATTTGGCTGGACCGTTGACGGCTTCTATATGTGTACTACTAAGTCATATTTAATAATAATGCATTTTAATTCGGAAGCTGTTGCCAAATTTAGATGAAATATAGTTTTGTCAACAGTTTGAAGGATTGCGGTGTGTGATTGCCATGATTTCGTACCCACGCGGGCGACCACGTCGCTGAGTTTCTCATTTATTAGGTTTAGTACCTTCTCGGTGACAGTAGCTTCTCTGCTTTTCCCTCTCCTCTCCTCTCTCTCTGTGAAGAGTCAGTGTGGCAGCTTCATTTCATTTTATATATTCTAGCTTTCTTATTCGAATATCTGTATTGTGCTGTGATTGTAAACGAGAAACAGCGCTTTTGAATAATTCTGGCAAGAAGTTCAGCTGTAAATCTTTACCAGAGGGCTTACCCTATATATGTTCTTAACGTTATACCTGTTGCCTAGCTTCACTTATTTGTTCTAATTTGGTCTTTTTTCTTTTTTTTTTCTACGTCTTGTCCCAAACATCCTGATGATGGATGGATATCGTAAACATCAATAATTATGTCCCAACTGGTCACATCATTTTCAAAAACCGTAGTTCCCGTTTTAAAGTTATATTTTATATTTAATATTAAATTTACTGTAATAATATATATACATATATATGATAAATCTCAAAATTTGTAATCTTTCTGCGTGTTTTCATCTTTCTCAAGAGCTGATTCGACTCTTCTTTGCTTTAAAACTTCATGCTTTTTTCGTCTCCAATTGATAGAGACAGCAGGTTGACCAATGTTGTAATAGATTTGAAGAACTTTTCAAGAAAAAAAGTGGATGAGGGATTTTCTGCTTGTTGTCAACTTCCCTCTTCGCAATTTCCACTCAGACACATACACACACACACATACCGAGGGTGCGAAATGCTGGGGTTGTGAAGATGGATCCATCCATGTACACACAACCAATATCATTACCATATAAATCACATACACACACATGCTAAAGAAATCATTTTTGGTAGTTTATAGTATATGGGCGAAGGGGCGGAGACACAGACACACATACAGGGACGCGATACGCCAGGTCATCGGCGATGGAAAGGCAAAAACGCCAAGCGCGTTTATGACTAAATTTCCGTTTTTGCATCATTTGCATTTGGTGAAGGTTACGAACTATAAAAGTTTGTTTCAGGGGATGCATGGCTTCAATTTCCTTTATATAGTATGGCTTTTGAGCCACGTGGTGATAGCTGATGACGAAGTGGATGGATCTAGCATATACGAGAACAGGGGATATCCCATCAGAGACTTCCAACTCGTCGCTCCATACGCCACGTCAGGTCATTGGGATTTTGTGGGTGAGTCAATTGATTGTTTTGAAACATTCATAGCAACATATTTTCTATGTTTAAACAACATATTCAGGAGATGCTTTACTAACTTCCAACAAACTTCGGTTAACACGTAATGAAAACAGTCTCAGAGGATCCATTTGGAGTCGTAATACTGTCACTGTCCGTGATTGGGAATTGATAGTAAGATCATAATCTGCTAGAAAGCTTTTAAGAATGTGTATTCGTAGGTTGGCTTCCGTGTTTCCGGAGAGTCCACTCCTGCTGATGGTCTTTCCATATGGTATACTCAGCACACCGGAACTGGAAGTGCTTATGGAGCTCCGGAACTGTTTTCCGGAATCGGAGTTGGTATTGGAAGACTAATCGGATGATTTCCTATGGAAAAAATAATTTCAGCTGTTGACACATATCCAAATCGAAAAAATGGAGTTTTCACTAAAGCTGACGTCATTACTCTGTTCAATGATGGAACGAAGAAGTATGACGACAGTAAGGATGGCTTGAATCTAGCTCCCTCCGGTGATATTTCCTGCAATTTTGAGTAAGTCATCCACTTATTCTGTTATCATTTCCTTTTATAGTTTTGCTCTGCGTGATGGTGTTGATATCAGAACTAAAAACGCTTCAATGATCATGATTCGTTATACAAACAACGTATTAAGTATTTATCACAGTGGCAGGGGGGACACTTGGTCTTTATGTAACTCATACAACGGTATTTCCATGAGTCTCCGGATTGGAGTTATAATGCTCCTTCAGAAATGTATCTTCCAATCAATTATCATCTCGGGTTGTCAGCTTCTACAGGTGACTTGAATAGCAGTCATGAAATTCTCTTCCTCAAGTTGTAAGTCTCTAACTTCTGATATTTCTGCTTACGAGAGGCCATTCAAGGTATCAACTTCAAAACACTGACTCGAAGCCAGCTGTGGCATCCCCTCAATATCAAGGATCTGTTGGCAATGTGCCTGAGAATGGTAAGTGTGGTGCTCGTTCGTTATCAGTATTATTCCATATTTAGTAAATGAGCCAGGAAGCGGAGTCTTCACCTTCTTCAAATGGGTATTCTATCTGGGTATCGTAGCCGTTCTTCTGGTTGTTGCTTTCTTCGGATGGAAAGAGTATAGCTCACGTAGAAACAGAAAGAGTCGTTTCTACTAAAATCTTAAACGCGCAACATAATTTTGGTTTTTTTTTAAATTTTAAGTTTGTTGACTTCTGTGCCTCATCTCTTCTGAATGGAGAGAGTTTTATTTGCTTTGGGACAATCTGTCGTTGCCAATCGACGGTTTGAAGGTAGCCACGGAGAAAATTACTGGTATAAAATTATCGAAAAAAAAAGTTTGTACTAGGCTGTAAAAATAAAGTTTAAACGAACATTTCGTCATTTTCCGTAACGTGTCATGATAACATTTTTTACTTCGCCTTCTTCTTATCGTTTACATCGATGGAGCAGCAATCCAAGATAATTTAATTTTCGAATTCCTTTCGAATTTGCAACAGTTGTTCTATCTTCATCTTCGAACTAACCAGTGTGATAGGCCCATTTTATCCTAAAAGTCCGGTTGATTGCTTAATCACTCGAACTTGCAGCACATCACTTCATCCGCTTCTCCTTTTTTTTTATCTTTCCAACGCTTTTTACTTCATTCTTGTTTCACGAACAACACTTCTCCTTCGAAATATGACCTCTGATAAAGTAAAGTTTTCTTTGACGTTTCAAGAAGTGCGCCTTCGATTGGAAACGGGCATTTAGTTGGTAACTGAAGTTTTGATCTCTCTAAATGATCTTAAGAGAGCTCGTCTCATTATATCTTTTAACAACCTCGTTATCAGTTGTATACTTATCTATTTTTCTCTGCAATTATTCCAATTTTTTTGTTTCACGTGGCAAACGTGACCTTTCACGTTTCACGTAAACCACGTAAATCACGTCCACGTGGAAGCCTTGTTAAGTTGCTTAACACAATGTGGTTCCATATCATTTTAGAGCGGCTGTGCGAGAAGTTGTTTGATTTTTGTCGTATCTTTCGATTCTTTCAGAGAGAGAAGAGAGAAAAAGATGGAAAAATGCACGTGGTTAGAATCACACCACCGACGACAACTGACAAAGAAATTGCTTGAAAGACAAAAAGAGAGAGAGAACGAGAGAAAGGTCCCCAAACGGTCTTTTACTTTTGATTACGACATTTTGCATAGCCGTTCGCACAAGTTCAATCCCCATGTCGCCTGCTTCAGACGCACAGAAGTTCTCTTACCCTTTAAAGTATAATCTTCTGTATGATTCTTGATGGCTACAACTTCTCCACGTGGTTATCGATCATATAACTTTCCTCCTCCCATCCCAGTCCTTCAACTGTTTATCTTTAATTCCTATTATTTTCGTCATTTTGCTCTTCAACTTTAAACTAACGCACTTTTGTTTCAGAACTTGCGGAGAACCATGCTTTCCCGACTTGCTAAGCTTCCAGTGAGTTTTTTGAATTGTTTTTCAGATTTCATTAGTTTCCATTGTAGGTACAATGTGGACAACAGGCTGTTGCCTTCTCCACTACTCGTTCAGTTTTGGGCAGTCAAGATACTGTCAAGCTTTGGATTGATGGACAAGCTGTTGAATCAAAGGCCACTGAGTGGGTTGAATTGACAAATCCAGTAAGTACCAACTTCTTAATTGAGTTTACCAAAGTGTTTCTTTAGGCTACCAACGAAGTTATCTCTCGTGTTCCCAAGACCACTCAAGCTGAAATGAACGCTGCTGTTGAATCTTGCAAGAAAGCTTACTCTACCTGGAAGAATACGTAAGCATGTAGCGAAATGGTTGTTTCATTGGAGTTTGCCTTTTAGCTCTCCCCTTACTCGCCAACAGACAATGTTCCGTCTTCAAGCTCTTATCAAGAGAGACATGAAGAAACTTGCCGAGAACATCACCCAAGAGCAAGGAAAGACCCTTCCTGATGCTGAAGGAGATGTCAGCCGTGGACTTCAAGTTGTCGAGCACGCCTGCTCTGTTCCATCTCTCATGATGGGAGAAACTCTTCCAAAGTATTAATTCATTTCCGAATTTACCTAATTTAACTCTTTAGTGTTTCACGTGATATGGACACTTTCTCCTGGAGAGTACCCCTCGGAGTTACTGCTGGTATCTGCCCATTCAACTTCCCAGCTATGGTTCCCCTCTGGATGTTCCCTATTGCTCTCGCTACTGGAAACACCATGGTCGTTAAGCCTTCCGAGCAAGATCCCGGAGCAACCATGATGCTCGTTGAGCTGGCCAAGGAAGCTGGAGTTCCAGATGGATGTGTCAACGTTATCCATGGACAACACGACTCTATCAACTTCATCTGTGACCATCCTGATATTCAGGCTATTTCCTTCGTTGGAGGAGATGTCGCCGTATGTTTTTCCTAATCTTATCAGTGTTATATGAGCTGTTTAGGGAAAGCACATTTATGAGAGAGGATCCAAAAATGGAAAGCGTGTTCAATCAAACATGGGAGCCAAAAACCACGGAGTTGTTATGCCTGATGCCAACAAGGAACAAGTCTTGAATCAAGTTGGATACTGATGTGTCTAAGTATATTAATTCAATGGGTTTCAGCTCACTGCTGCTGCCTTCGGAGCTGCTGGTCAGCGTTGTATGGCTTTGACTACCGCCATCTTTGTCGGAGAAGCCCGCTCCTGGTTGCCAGAGCTTGCTGAGAAGGTCAAGAAGCTTAAAGTCAACGCTGGTAAATCTAATTCTTCATGTTACACATCATAAATGTTTGTTAAGGATGGATCCCAGAGACTGACATCGGACCTTTAATCTCTAAGGCCTCTAAGAGCCGTGTCATCTCTCTTGTTCAAGGAGCTAAGAAGGTAAAAAAGAAAGTTGGAAAGGCTGTTAACTTATTTTGTTAAAGGAGGGAGCCAATGTTATCCTTGATGGATCTGAGCATGTTGTCTCTGGATTCGAGAATGGAAACTTCGTCGGACCATCTATCATCGCTGGAGTCACCCCCAACATGACCTGCTACAAGGTATGGACAGAATTAAAATTTCACACATCTCTTTTTTTTTTAGGAGGAAATCTTCGGACCTGTCCTTGTTGCCATGGAAGCTGAAACTCTTCAAGATGCTATTGAGATCATCAACAACAACCCTTACGGAAACGGTACCGCCATTTTCACCAGCAACGGAGCTACCGCCAGAAAGTAAACATCATTCAACTCGAATTCGATTCAAGAACAAATATCTTTGTAGGTTCACCGCTGAAGTTGATTGCGGACAAATCGGAGTTAATGTACCAATCCCAGTTCCACTTCCAATGTTCTCCTTCACCGGATCTCGTGGATCTTTCCGTGGAGACATGAACTTCTATGGAAAGGTAGGCGGACTTTTGAGAACTGAGTATCTGAAACCTAAATTGTAGGCTGGAGTTGCTTTCTACTCTCAATGGAAGACAGTTACCCAATACTGGAACGAGGCTCTTACTGAGATCAAGCCTCAAATGGCCTTCCCTCAACTTAAGTAATTTTCCAAAATACTTCCGGTCCATAGCTGAAGCTAGTTTTTTGCAAAGATGTTTCTTCCCTCCTTGGAGAGACAGGGACTTTAATAAGATTTTATTTTTAAATCAGCATGTATTTTCATAGTGCCAGGGAAGATCGTGAGATGTATGTCTCGCGATTTCCATTAAAGCCGAACGTAACTAGTTTTCTGTTGATTTTTATTGTTTTTCCTCTGAGCACCGTCGTTAGAAGCGGGTGATTTTAATAAATTTCTTTTTGTTCTTCCGTGATTTCAATCGGTCGGGTGGATGATCTTCTGTTCTGTTATTTCGGTTTCTACAGGATGTTTTTATAACATTTATTTAAAAAATATCCGTTTAATGTAATAGATTTCACTTTAATAATTCATATTATTCGTATCGGCGAAATATTATTAGATAACGGACGCGCCAGTGTTGTTAGGGCCTGTTGTTGTTGTCATGGCAACCACTGAGAAACGTAAGCTTTCAAGAGTTTATTCGGCTAAGCTTATTTGGGGATTATTCTCTCTGGAGGTTTAAGTGTCAAACATGTTGATTACGAATGTGGTAGGTTCTTCCGAAATAATCATTCCTTACTTACCTCCTGTTTTCATTTTCCAGAAGTCATCGTTGATTTACCAAATGCTGCTGCATGTGAACAAACCGTACTCTGTGTTTCTGTTCATCTCGCTGGTTTTGTTATTTTTTTACAAAGGTTTTTGAAATATTAATTTTGACTGCTAATTGAATTTCTCTCGCTTGTAGGAACTATCCTTCCTTATCAACCTCATATAAGGGTTATGGAATTTCTGATCATTCTAGCTTTTGCTCCTATTGAAGCTGTTCGCATATCATGGGGTAAGTAATTTTAGAAAATTCCGTTTCATCTAGAACTTCCCTGACAAGACATGTGATTAATTAGGAAGCAGGTGTTAATCTACATGAACTCAAAGTACGAAATCTCAAAAACCGCTCAAAAACAAAGAGGTTTATGCAAATTTCGCATTTTCAAATTGCAGATGGCAGAAGCGGTTGTGTACAAGAACGGCGGGGCATAAATAGATTCTAACGCTTCTGTTTACAGGTGCACGGGGGAACTTGACAGAAACGCCAACATTCTTATCATTCTCATTGTTTTTGAGTATCGCCATGGTCTTCATCTGTGTCTATCTGGCTTTCCTACAAAACTTTGGTGAGTAGTAAGAAGAGAGTGATACCTGGCTGTGAAGAATGAATGACTGAAACGAACCTTTCTGAAGAGACAGCTCCTATTCTATTCTATTTTCAGTTTTATTAATAGAAGAAATACTTGTGTGCATACAAGGAACCATTGTGATAATTGAATCTGTGATTGCTTTGGCACTTTGTGGAACAATTGGAGGATAAATTGATTTTTGATCTAAATTATACCCCAAATTACCTTTTTAGGTCATTCATGGGACAATTTATTGTATTCAAATGACTTTATTATTGATTATGACAGAAAAAAGAGACAAAAAAAAAGAAAAAAAAACGTTCTAGGAAATGATGAAGGGAGTGACGAGAATGTCCTCCTCCTCCTCCTGCCATTGGCGTACATGTGTTCATGATGTTGCTAATAAAATCCTTTTATACATCTATCTTTATTAGAGTTATAAACATTCTCATTATGGTTGAGCATTTTTGATTATCGAATACGAACATATACAATTGAATAATCTTTTATATAAAATCTTTTAGAAAAGTTAATGAAAAATGGAAAAACATAGGATGTACCCATACGCAGATGATCTACTGGAGAAGTGATTACATGACAAGACACTCTTTACTTCTCTCTACCTTCCTCTCTCTTCCTCTCTCTCTCCCTCTCTCTCTATTCTCTCTCTTTCCCTCGCAATGAAATGGGATTGAACGATAAGATACACAAACTATACCCGAGACACACACACACAGCTTGTTGCTCCGCTCTTTTCGCCTAAACTCCTCATTTAGCTTCGTCTGTACTTAGTATAATATAAATAACATTTTCCTATATTCATGTCCATGCCGTACGTTTGACATGGAACAATGGCATTGTGTGGGTTGGATCATGAGCTGTGTCAGGAGAAATACCCAGATATACTTGATATCTCATTAGAGATCGTTGTAGAAAATCAGAGATGCACATATTGGGTCTCATTGAAGACATCTGAAAGTTGTTACGAACAATGATTTCATCATGATTTTCGAACACAAACCGCATGAGCAACTTTTTGAACTGCAGCCGCACGAGTAAGCCGCTCATTCTGCATCAGGTGAGCTGCAGCAAAGGCAGGAGCTCTGAAAAATGACATAATAACAATAATTTTTTATCATATAATCAATTTTGTAATCATACATCACTTTTTTTTTCGCGCTCTTTTTGCTCAGTTGGACATGGCATTCACGTGCAACACACGTGGCTTCCGCGTTATTTTATTTTCGAAAAAACGCATAACCGGTTGTGTTTCATCAATATTTATAATTTTAATTTTTGAAGTAAGTATCCAATTTATATAAATAATTAATAAACTAACTTATTTCGAGCTTTTCCACTACATACCAAAACACTTCGTTTGGCTTTACGGGCTTTTGCTATCATTTCGATGAATTGATCAAAACGCTCATTCATGTTCATCTTATGTTGGGTTATAGGCTGAAAAGGGTTTGAAATGAGGATCAAGTAAAATATGATTAATGAAAGAAGTACATCAATCAGCAGTTTTTCAGAATCCGGCACGACCATATTCACTTCATACCGCGAATGACGCGTTCTGCATGAGCATTGCCAAATACTGGAATTCTTACTGAAACAGGGATCAATGAGTGGATGGGAGGTATAGATAGAGATAATTACGGTTCATCTTCAGATTTCTGATGTGAAACATCTAATATATACTCAATTCCTAGACGGCAGAGTAACGACATGTTTCTCGAGGATTCGATTGTTCCAACGTAAACAAGCTCGTCAATCTTCAATTTTGATAATCTGAGTTGAGTTTGCTTTACCATTCCATACCTGCCAGATCGTTTCATTTAGAAATGGGATATTCGGTGCTGTTTGATTTCGTTCCAGTTTCTTCAACGGCTTCGAAACTATAAATGAATTTTTCATGCGTTTCGATTACCTCTCCACTAACCCTCTTGCTCTCCAGAATCTTTCCTAATAACCTCAGAATCAGCTGTTGATGTGGAGCATTCAACCATAGTATTGGCTTCAGATGATAAACTTCCACGTGACTAAAAAAAGGAGAATGAAAGAAATGAAATGAAATCTTTATTTCATTCTCTTTGTCTGTCGTGGTCTCTGTCTGTCTCGCTCACTTACCCGAACAGTTATGATGTGAGGTTTGGAGGTTTCTGATCGAATTTCTGTTGCACTGCTTGTGCTTGTGGGAGAAGCTTGATCTGGAAGACGGATAGAAGTTTGATCGAATATATACTGCACAAAGAAAACCTTGGCTACTGTTGGTAAAAATACTGCTGCGGCTATCTCGTTTATTTAATAACATATGAATTTGGCTAGAATCTAGAACGCTCGAAGCTGCAGAAGAAGCTCGTGAACGTAAAGATTGTCTGAAAAGCAGGTAAAAATAATTTTTTTAAAAAATGTATAATGATTACGGTCTTGTAGAGGAAGCGCTGTTGCTACCAGATGACATGGCCGATTGACTTGTGAGCAAAGTGCTGTAAAAGGAAAATTGATCTGAGTAGTTTTAAAGGTAAAATAAAGAACAAACAACTTGTTAACTCAAAACAAAAGATACGAATTTTTGAATTTTTTTCATTTCAGAAAGGTGAAGACTCATGGGAAGTGAGGGCAAAGTGATTAAACTTGTTGCCAAGGTAAAGCTTTTTCTATATAATAACGGATGAAATAAAAGAGAAGTAGAACGGTTAAACAGAAATAATATGTAATTTCATGAGATTTTTTAGAGAAAGCCACAAAAAACATGCAGATTGTTAGAGAGAGAGAGAGAGAGAGAGAGAGAAAGAGAGGCTACAGAGAGAGAAATAGCAAAGCAAAGAAAGAGCAGACGCACGGAAAGGGAAAGCCAGAGTCAGGTAGTGAAGGAGAGAGAAAAGAATAACAACTTCTCAAATGTTTGTCACTTTTTTGGATTTCCAACAAAAAAGAAAAAAAAGTTTTGTAAATCTTGAATAGAGTCATGAATGAGCTTAATAAGGAATGCGAGAGAGAGAGGGTGACAAGCCGTGTTTTGAAAAGTTCGTTTGATTTGAGCCGCACCCGACTCTCTCACAAAGGAAAAACACATGAGGATTGAGAGAGAGAGCTTCATGTCTACTTGTATGGTGTTGCTTAACTCATGTTAATATAATGAAAGAGAAGTAAAGGAAGTTTTACAGATTCTGTGAGTACATTCGCAATGATTGGAAAGCCCTGCCGTTGTCGCCGCCGTCGTCGTCGTCGTCGTGGACACGCGCAGGTGCTGTGAAGGGGTGGAGAAGCCTGATAGACATGTGTGGGAGTAGAAGTTTTTGATAGAAAAATTAGCTTGAGAGATATATATTCTCATGATTTTCAGTTTGGTTGGCAAAGAAAAAAAAATTACAAAGCCGAGGGAAACAATGCGGAAAGCAAGGATTGGAAAGCGAAGAAAGAGAACAAGCCGTTCAAGGTGAGAATATGAGAATTGGATGAATGTAAAACCAAATGAAGAGAGAGAGAGAGAGAGGGAGGTAGGTAAAGAGATAGAGAGAGAGAGAAAAGGAGATAAGTAAGGATATAATATATAGAAAAAGTAACGGAATGAAAGAATCTTTAACTATGGAAAATGAGATGTTAAGCAAACGTAGTTGGGGTGTGGTAACTACATTCTCCTCTTGTTCTCTGCTTTTTCATTTAAATTTTCTCACAAAAAAGAGAAAACGAGAATATAGAGAGGAGGGAGATAGAGAAGTATGAGGGAGGGATATATATATAGAGAGAGAGATAGGAAGAGAGAGAGAGATGGAGAGAGTGAGAGGGAGAGAGAGGCAGTCAGATTGGCCATAAGAAGGGCTGATGAACATGAAGTTAAAAGCTAATTTATTACAAATAATTCATATTCATCTCACAAATACAAATACAATTCTGACATGCTTCTATATATAACTAACCGGATGTTTTCAATCCGCTTTTTTAACTTCAAAACTCTGAACTGTGTTTGTGTGTATTTTGGAGACAAAAGAAGTTCGTTCAGTTGGACTTTGATGATCGCGACTAACGAAACTGAAGACGTCAAATGATGAAAACTATTTCAAAGAAAGACATAGCATAGATGTTTTCTTCGTTAACACAATGAGCTTCATCTCTCCCCTCCTTTCTTCACACTCTTTCACATACACATGTACACACACGTTCACACATACACATACACATACACAGACAACCGTTCGTGGGACAAAAGAATAAGCAAAATGAATTTTCACGTGAATTTCACGCGAAACGTCAACATTCATTTTGCGTGAAATTCACGTGAAATTCAAATGAACACGTGGTGGTTTGCATATTCTAATGTTGTTTAATTCCAGATGAATATCAATAAACTGATTAACCTTCGAAATTGTCCGCCTGTCGAAACTCGCCGATGTCTGGCATTATATCCAAATGGGGTAATTCGTGCACTGCTTGAGATATATGCATCTGCTGCATGATGGTGTAAGTGCTCATGATGATGTTCTCTTAGATTGGGAGTTGAACTGCAATTGACGTAATCAGTGAGCTTCTAAGAAGCAAAACAATATCTATCTACTTTAGACTATGAGGGTACGCATATTGTTATTCGAACTATTGAGGAGCAAGAGATGCAACTACGGTACAACGATAGAAAGGACGTGAAGATGAATGATGCAGTGAAGGACAAGGTTAGTGAATGTTGATATCTTACCCGAGTGAAGTAATTTTGGATAAGTTGCTGGTTGATTTTGACAAATATTCCGTTTGTTTCCATCGAGAAGTCATTATAGAGAGAGAAAATTAAAATCTGAAAAAGATGAAGAGAGAGAGTTTGATAATGAAACGAGTGATTGGCAGACGAAAAGCTTACATGATACGAATCTGTTTGGAGACGAGTTGTGTGATGAATGAAGGTGGAGTTTTGGATTGATAAATGCTTCAATAGGTATATGAGAGATAAATAGATAGAAAGAGACAGAGAGAGAGGGAAAGAGTAAGAGAGATAGAGAGATAGAGATGATAATACTTGGGTAAAAAATATTGGAAAATTTGAATGAAAACACCATAATGGGAAGAGAATCGAAAACAACATGAAAATTCATTGTATCAGAACGTAATTTTGAAAGCAGAAAGAGAGAGAGAGATAGAGATAGATAGAGAGAGAGAGAGAAAGCTTAATGAAGAGAGAGGAAGAGAAGATGAAGAAATGTCTGTGAGGATATGAGAATGAGGAAGAGATGAAAGAGAAGAAACATTGATGTTACCATAAATGGCTTTTCGAGGCGACGATCCATTTTTTCCATTTGAAAAGTTACCTCGGCAACGATGTTAACTGCTGTTTCGGAAATATAAGGTTGTTCAATCAAAACTTCTTTTCTGATGTGTTGCTTTATTCATTCTATCTATACATATCCTGAGATGCGAAAGGTAACGAGAGCATCGAGCAATCTGATATAGAGAGAGAGAGAGGGAGAGAGAGAGAGATAGAGAAATATGAAAAGAGACAGATGAGTAAGTGATTAGTAAACTAGCGCAAACATCTTTTTGAAAGTAATGCAGATGAAGTAAGATGTGAATGATACGAGGGAAATCTTTCACAAGCTGATTTCCCTCAATATTCTTGAAAGAGGAATTGAGAGGGAGTATAAACGGCGAGAAAGAATATGCTAGATGTTCTCTAATTGTCTATAATTATGAATTTTGATTAATAACGGACCATTTTCTAAGCTATCTCTCTTCCTCTCTCTCTCTTTCTTTCTCTCTCTCTCTCTCTCATTTTGATTCTCTCTATATTCCTCTTGATGTTCTGTCATTTGATTATCTGTCTCTTTCTAGATATCATGATACTCTCTAGTATCTCTTGTAATATGTGATTCTCTTCATTGTCCCTCGTATTGTTCCTTCATTTTTCAATTATATTCAATTTGCATTAAAAACATATAGTTGACTTCTTTCTCTCTCTTTATGTTAAATATGAAGGGAATGACGTCAATCTATTTCTATTTTCGTTTCATCTTCATTATGACGTCATTGATTATTGTGCTTAAATATCTTGTATAATAGCGGATATTTTCTTTTTTTACTTTTTTTAGATGAAAAAGGAAGGAGAAGCTTCTTCATGATGATGATGATGAGGATGAGGATGAGGATGACGTGGCTCTTCAGCTTCTTCTTCTTCTTCTTGATGATGATAATGATCAACATGTTGTATTTCTGAGGAAGTTTTGAATTTTATCAGAAAACCATTTTGGATATTTCAGATAGAAGTCATGTCCACCTTGTGCATGAACTTCAAGTCTGTAAGATGATAGGATGAATTGATTCAGAGAAGATATGACAAACTTTGAATTCTTAATGACACTTATGAAGTCTTTGGCATCTCCACAGAATCTATCAAGACCGCCATTTACAACAAGTGTTGGACAGGTAATGGAGGGAAGTTCATAATCACAAGGAAAACGTCCTCCACAGAAATCATATACTCTATATTATATATATATAATTATAGATAATAGTTATTATGATAACTCACTGCTGTACAACATCACACAGATCTGCCCATTGTTTTTTCAAATAGTCATCGGAGTAATGAGCCAAATATGGAGCTCTTGCTGATGGCAACCAATGATCTGTATTCCTCATACCTATTCAAGTAACAATACTATTTCAATATCAGATGTTATTTCTCTACCACTAAAGGCCATCGATCCTAGTTTACTAACTTTTGAACCAGGAGCTAATAGGATAAGACGTTGAACACGTCCTTTGCCTCGTGCTGCTACATGAATAGATGTGCGAGCTCCCTCTGACCATCCCATTACGGTATACTTTTCAATTTCTAATTTCTGTAAGGTTAAACTGTTATGATGTTCATTAGATCAAACGACCTCCATCACTTGCACAACGAGTGCTCCGTCTTTCGTGCATCGTCCAACTTCTTGTACGCGTTCAGGAGGACGAGAAGTTCCATAGCCAGGTGGATCAATACATATTAATGTGACAAAAGAAGGATCGAAATGTTTGAGCAGAGTCAGCGGCCAATCTTTCTTATAGCTTCCTGCAACATACAGATAGGCAACGAGGTGAGAATAGAAAACGTTACCAACAGCTCCACAAATACAAACAACGATTTCAGAGCCATTGCCATACTTGGCATAACCAATATTCAAATCATTAATCACAACAGAACCCTCAGTGTAAGGAGTAGAAGCTTCATCGGCTACCATGCTGTAGATGGAATGTCATTGATTGGAAAAAGTTGTCAAGAACGTAATGGAACATCATATTGAAAGATCATAATACATGGTTAGTGTTGAAAGAGAGTTGAGAGAGTGAATAGAATAGAAAACGAATTGAGAAGATACGAAACAAGAGGATGAGAAGCAAATAGAATTTCTTGTTAACAAGTTTAGATATGTTAAGAGGCGTTGGAATAAGAAACGTTTCGAACAACGACCAAGATTTGTTTTAACTGATAAGAAAGACGCTCTCACATTGTTTTCAATGATTTTCTATCATATGAATCAAAACACCGTCATTCGTTTAAACCAGTTGAAAGACAAAGAGAAGTTTATACGATATAGTTAGATGATGTCATGGTCTCTTTTACAAGCAGAAACATTGTCGACTTTTATCCCCAAAAAGGCAAATCTCATTTCCTCAACCTTGGCCTCCTTTTCTATTCTGTCTTCTCCACCTCTTACTCCCCCCCACTCACTCTTCTTCTCTCTTGTTCTCTGACCTTAAACTTCTTTTAAAAAAAAGGTCAAAAATTGTTTTGATCAAAAACATTTTCTTTTCATTCAGCTAAGATGAAGCTTATCAAACAATCTATTTCATGTGTTCATATAGTCGAATGTGTCAACACCAACATCAAACTACAGTCTATTCCCAATCTCATCAGAGTTCTTCTATGATCTCTCTATACTCGTTACTCGAAAGTTCTTCTCCTCCAATCAGTCACACAACCGTTAACCACTCATCAACAACAACAAACTATGCCTTTCTTCCTAAACCAATAAAGAACAGAACGATTGAATGAATTTCGTCGCTTCGTCGATTTCACCATCGAGATCCACTGAGAGGTTAGTCCATCATCATGTTTCTTATATGATTTGATGTGGTATATACATGTTGCTGTTATTTATTATCTTTTCGATAAACGTTTTAAGCTAATTCGTCTTTGTGTTTCATGGTGGGAATGCAACCGTTCTGGACGGTTTTAGATGGAATGCAGCCATTCGGTGCTCTTCGGATAAGACCCGGACTTGTCCAGGTCCCATTCCTAGCTTGCGAGCCAATGAGCTTTTCATCCTCTCTGGAGGACCTCCAGAGAGAGAGGAGTGGAGCTCACCGGCTCACACCGCCAACTGACGTGATTCGGCTGCTCCACGGCTCATATACCACGCGGAAAAGCGTCACGTAAAAAAAAATTTTTGCGTAAAAAAAAAATGACTCGGTCGTTCCCTTTCGGGAAAACGATGTAACTTTGCTCAAAACTGATGAAATCGGTTGTTTTTAGAATCATTTCAGATCAGAATTTCATTCTAAACTCGAATATGATGTCCCTTCGTTGTTTTCAAAACAAAATTTCATATAAAACTCGAAAATTCTCTTCAAAATCACGTGAAAAGCAGAATTCATAGTCGTCTCGGCATGCCATGCCGGCTCACAACATGTGCTCTATTGCCAATTGTTGATTCCAATCAATCAATAAACACAGAAAAAACAATTATTTATGTTTATTATTTTATAATTTAGAGAGCTTCTTCTTCGTTTTATTTCATTTTTCTTTTGTCTTAGAAGGGTTTTAGTTGAGTTGAGAGGTTTTCACTTTGAAACGAAAAAATGAAAACCCGGTTGTTCTCTCACGGGATTCTCTCCCTCTGAGTTCTTAAAAGACTGAAATCTCTTAGAGAGTTCTCGTAATCATCTGTGCTTGAGTAAGATTTGTTTTTTCTTTCAT